CTGCCTTTGAAAATTGGCTTTTGTTCCCGGCAATTCTTATCAAAGCCTTGTATTCCTTTTTATTTGTCTTTTTCTAAACTTAAAGTCATTACTCGGCTTGGATTAAAGAAGACGCTGTAATTTTCTATGGGGTTAGCGAGATCAAAGAAAAAATTCTCCTTGAAGTTTGTTACTGGAACTGCCCATGCTGCAGCGCGCTTCAACCAGCCATTGTTCAGATGGAAGAGCTGAAATAGAGGGAATTTGTTTGAAATAAAAAACAGTATATATTTGGAATTATCAAACATACCCTGCTGTAATTTGCAATAGCACAGAAAAACAGGATTTTAAATCACGGTTGTCACTGCACATTCTGTCAATTTGACAAGTTGACATTTTAAGTCTTGAGTAAATGTAGTTACAATCAAAAGAATGCATTCTAAAAGATTGTTATAGTTTTATAACTGTACTATTTTCTTTTTTATGTTGCTTTTACTTTTAACAATATGTCAGGAAACATGGTGTCATATGTCTATGTTTTTTTTTATAGAAGTTGTTAAATAAAATCTTAATTCTGCATCAAAAAAATGGCAAAAAAAAAAAGAAAAAAGAAAACATGCAAGAGAGCAAACTATTATTTTCAAATTGAAAGGATATATTGAGTGACATGTAGGGTTTCTTTCAGCCATGCTCTGCAGCTCCCCACACTCCATCTTCACATGAGGGAGACACAGATTGTCGACTGCCACTGCCCCGAGGGCGGAGGGACGAGGGTGGTGTCCCAGGTGGCTAGACGTCACCTTGGCCCTCATGGAGATGGCTTCCCAGGGCAGATCTACTGAGTCCGGGGAGGTCCTGTCCATGGATGGAGGCATGCAGGGGAGTCCCCCGAAGCTGGAATGTGGCCCGTACTTCAGGAGATGCTCCAGGATTTGACTGTCATGCAGAGGAGTTGGGTAATTGAACTGAAACGGCGTCTGGTGCACAGGATAGGGCCTTTTCACTGTTTGGTTGACCGAGCTTAGAGGGGTTATAGCTGGCTTGCGCACCACCAGGGACAGTGCCTCGGTCTGGTCCTGTGGGCTTTGGGCCTCAGAGCTTTCATAGTACTCCAGAGAGTGGGGTTTCCCTGCAGCCTCCTCTGCCAGGGGCTGCTCCTGGGTGGATCCCACCTGCTGGCTCTTCCTGTCAGCACCCATGTTGATCTGCAGGTCCGGAGAGGAGCACATGCGCTGCTGGGGGGACAGATCCAACCCTGAGGATGAGACTTTCTTGAAGACTCTGTCCACACAGTCATTCACAGCCTGAGAAAGCTCCTGCTTCAGCGTCTCCTGCAGGTTCTGACTTTCTCTTTGGTGCACCAGATAACCTACTTTCATTCTGTCCTTAGTCTTCCTTTCAAAATCCTCTTCAGTGTGTGTGTAGCTTTCTCCCATGCTGTCATGCTCAGCAGCCAATTCTGGCTCCTGCGTGTCATTGTGTTCAGGGTCCTCCTGATTGTAAACTTGAAGGAACTTTTCCTGCAGCTGACGCAGGAGCCTTTGCATGCTGTGGAGCTGCTCCTTCAGCTTGTGACACTCCTCATCCTTAGTATTGTCACTGTTAGTGCTTCCAGGACGTCTGTTTGCTGGTCCTCCAATGCTGTGCTCCTGATGCTGAGGCAGCCTCTGTTTGCGTTTGTTCTCCCTGTATGTTTCCCTGGTCTCTCTTGTGTCTCGGGCATCAGTGTCCAACCTCTCACTGTCTCCGTGTTGCCTGCTGTTTGGAGAGCCAGCCATCACCCTGATAATGTTCTCCACCCTGGCCCTCTTGGCCTGCAGGTGGTCACTGATGGGATGCTCTCCCTCTGGGCTGCCACCTGTAGAGACATGAGCACCGGGAGAGGCAACTTCCATAGTGCTGTCCTTAGACGAGACGCTGCTCTGGTCCTCCTGGCCGGAGTCAGGAGCAGCAGAAGAGGGAAGAAAGAAATGACTTTCATCTAGTGCCCTCTTGTTGTGGATTGTCTTGCGAAGGAGTTGGGAGATGATGGATCCGTTGGAGTACGAGGCCAGAGGCTCGTCGTACATGTTTCTGCGGAAGCATGGCAACATGATGTCAGGTTTGTCGTCTTCCAGGCAGCCTTCAGAGGAGCTGTGCATGTTCTGGTCGGGGAGACTTAGGTTCATGTTTCATACACGACGCACAATCAGAGTTATGTGAAATGAAAGAATCTGAAAACAGAAGAAAATTATAAGAACAAATGTTGGAAGCACTTAAGATAAGATGTGAAAAAAAATGAATAAACAGCTTTTTTTATTAGATTTCATTTAACTTCTTCTCTTTCACACTGCAGTTTCTTTTACAGAAATAAAGTAATAAAGATATATTTAATATGTTTGTGTCAGCATGTAGTTGTTCGTGGCATTTAAATAAACAGTAATGACGATAGCATGTGATATTTCTATATTGCTTGGATGTACAGTAAGCAATTCAAGCAATTCACAATTGTTTTCTTTAAAAACTTAAATGACTCTTCTAAATTTGACAAAGAAAATATTAACAAACACGTGTATAGTTACTCCTACGTATCATAGAAATCTATGTATCGGAAAAAAGAGCTCTGCATTATTATCCAAACTCTCAGGTCTACAATAAAAATAAATCCTCCATCCTTACACGGTGAGGGAGTGCATTTGTTTCTATTTCATATTGGGTTTGTAACAATAGCTTACATAAAGGGTAACAGAACATGTGTAAAACAACCTTGAAAATAAATGTCTGCTTATTAAAGCCAAAGAACGGCATGAACAGCTCAGTGTATACATTATTTAAATGATGAATATCACACGGCTCTTTCTTTTTCATGGATTTTTTCTTAAGAATGAATCAAGAATGAATTCAAGGTCTGAAAAAAATTAAAAAAGGTAGAGATGTGGAATTCAGGGTCATTGCATTCATTTCCTTTAAGCCATATTTTAAAATATTTCCTGTGCTGTAACAGAAACTTACTCACACAAAAGGCTACTGTGTTAATTACATAAAACACGCTACTGCATACACAAATGAAATGGACCGACTGAAAAATAATAAATGTAACCAGTCATGTTCTGCATAAGACAATGGATTATCAGCAATTTACACTTTTGTTTCTTGCCCTTAAAAAAAAACATTTTTAAATATACAAAATGACATCAGGAAAATGTAAATGAGAGTATATACAAAGGAGAGTCACATATGCCACAAAGCAAAGTTTGACACATGTAATCATTCCATCATTTTTGGCAGAGAGAATGGTTTTAATGTTTTCTTTGCTCTTAACAGTTTTTAAATGATGACAGTCTGTCAGGCTACCACATCCTGAAGTGGTTTGTCAAATGTTTAAATCATGTAAAAATGTAAAATGTAAAGGTATCCATACAGGACACTAAATCAGGTGAAGTTGCAGCTATAGCTTCACTAACAATGTTACCCTTAGAATAAAGGAGATACATGATCGAATAATCAAATCAATCTGTTTAGTCAACTCACCCAAGAAATTCACTCAACAACCATTAAACCCGTATTACTTCAAATTCAAACTCACCTAAACTATATACTGCTGTCAAAGAGCAAACAAACCTATTTTTTTTTAAACAACTAAGCAAAACAAAACGGATGTGGTGGGTTTTAATAAGCCGCAGCCATGCACTTTGTCACAGTCTAATGCTGTTGTAAGTGAGCGGCAGTGATGGGACCTTACCTGTTGCTGGGACGAGCTGTCGAGCTGCTGGCCTGCGCACACTGTCAGATACACAGAAGCAGCAGCACGAGGGAGAGGCGATGCATCAAACTGAGCTGGGCGTGGCCATTAAAGAGAAAACGAAGTGGTCGAGCATCAGCCACTAAATGTCAAGAAGCGGAAAGTTTCTGTTGAGAGGTGTTGTCGTTAAAGTCTAGTCACATAGTGGCTGAATTGTGGTTTTTTTTAATGACTGATACACAATCGCCAACGTGATGCATACATCTAAATAAACAATTCTATTTTGCAGCCAGCAGTAAAATAAATATTTTCATCAATTTAATAACTCTTTCCACAAGTGGAAGTGTACATACTTTGTATTATTCTGCTATTGTATTTTTTCTCCCTTTATTTAATATGTTTGATTTTTAACTTCTTGTTGTTTTTGATAATTATATTCCTGTTTGCTGTTTCTTGAGCTGTTGTGACAAAAAAAATGTCCTCCATGGGGGATCAATAATGTTTATCTTTATCTTAGAAAAGAAGAAACTATTTAAGACCAATCTATAAGTTAAACTTAACTAAACTGTACTCAAGTTAAATTATGAATTAAAAATATATATCAGAACAATTAAAAACAAAAATGAAAGTCACAATCTACTCAATCATTTTTTTGCTATTCTATTTTATTTCATGTGGTTTATGGTTTTGTATGTTTTACTTGGAATGTCATCGCTTTTCTATTGTTTTCTACTTTCTGCTCAAATGTTAAAAATGTATTTGGAGTTGAGATCATATCTTATCTTGTCTATTTTATCTTATCCGTATTTGCATTTTTGTATTTTATATAATTAGCACAATGTTGGTAGGCTATCACCGTTAAATTATCTAATCTTATTTCTATTTATTTTTTCTCTGTGTGTACGTTGTTACCTGTTGTTATTTTTACAGTCTATGGTTGTTACCTGTTGTTATTTTTACAGTCTATGGTTGTTACCTGTTGTTATTTTTACAGTCTATGGTTGTTACCTGTTGTTACTTTTACAGTCTATGGTTGTTACCTGTTGTTATTTTTACAGTCTATGGTTGTTACCTGTTGTTATTTTTACAGTCTATGGTTGTTACCTGTGTGCTCTCAATGTGGTTGCTGGTGTATCATATTTGCACCAGAGCTCTGATTTGCACTACATTTGTAGATCACTTTTGAATTGCCAGTAGTTTCAAAGACCAGGGTGAAAGGTGAAACACAATGTGGACCCCCTCTTCCCCCCCCCCCCCCCCTTGGACAACTTGGTTCATCCCACACTACTTCCTCGTTTCTTGCGCGTGCTGTGACCAGAGATTCCCTTCCGCTGACAGGCTGCTGTCACACAGCCACCATGCTATCCCATTCCCGGTGTCTCACCCGGAATTTTGGCCGTTCCCTCTCTGCCATCCGCCAGGTAGGCAACAAGCTAAACAAATGCTGCTTTTCTCCCGCTCTCGACAGTCTCCTCGCTTGTCTCCCAGAGCCTCAGAGACTCTTTAAAGCGCTAGCGTTAGCATTACCCTGCTAGCTGCTGCAGGCCACGGAGAGGCCGTAACATTGTAAGCCAAGGACAGTCTGACACTTTCCTCCAGGAGTCTTTGCTGCAGCCTTTTGAAGTTACAATCAGTGCCAAACTTTTTCCAGCGAGTCTGTCATTTTGACATGCATGTAAAAAAAAAAAAAAAAAAAAAGTATCCAGTCCATGTCACGTAACGTAAACTTATTCAGTAATGTCTTTTAAGTTAGCATAAGCATGTTAGCCACACTGTATTAAACAGACGGTGAGGTTAGCTTTGTGCGTGTAGCTGTCATGCTGAGGTCATATTATGGTGTTTCATGGAAAGGACGTCCAATGGAGGAAATCCTGTTACGTTGATTTTAGTTTTTATTCAGGGTGTTACTTTCTGTTGCTGAATTAGAAGCTAAGCTAGGTTAGCAACTTAATATATTAGTGAAGTCTTTTTGTTTTAATTGATATCTGTCATTAAGATCAGATAAGACAATGAAGCTTTTGTGTCACATTCCTAATAAAAAGTGACTGCATTGCATTTGTTTGTCATGTTCCTGTGTCTCTCTGTCAACCTGTTTGTCAGATTATTTGATCGATTATTTCAAAGGTCATTGTCTACATTGTGACTTCTGACAGACAGCAGCTTTCTGTACTGTAAAGTATTATACAGCTCAGTCTGATGTTTTACATTATGTTACACATTGTTAACTTATGATGGTTTGGTTTGTATTATAGAAATTGTATTTGTCATGCATTTGGTTGTGCATTACAATTAAGAGTTTTTATTTTGAATTATTATTATAACATTTTTGGAGTAACAGAAGTTTTGTTTTGCTCATTTTCTCTTTTTTTAGGGGAACAATGTCTTAGCTCGTGGAGCCACTGCAGGTATGTGTGTTTGCTGTTCAAGCCCAAAGTCCTGCATTTCAACTTGGTTTTGATTGCCCAACTGAAGGAACGTATATATGACATGTTGCTCTATTTTATTTTCCTACAGCTCTGTCAGTAAGCCATTCTGTCACTCTCAACAACCATGTGTAAGTAAACAAACACTTAAAGTATCTTCACTGTCAGAAATGAAGTACACTTATGACACTGTGTTTTTTATTTCTGATATTGATAGTCTTGTCATTGGTTCTAAAAGCATCATAGCTATGCAAACTGTTAAATGTAATGAATATATTTTTAATCACTCTGTCTTTATTGAGTCAATATAGCTTTTGTCTTTCCAAATGCAAGATCTAAATCTGAATTTCCATTTTTATTAGCACTTTCGGATGATCACATATGTATATTTTTTTGGGGGGGATTTTAAAAATTAATTATGAATTTCATTTTTCTCCAGAAAAACAGATCCCCGGTCCAGTGTCTTCCAAATTCAGTACTTCAGGACATCTGTAGCCTGCAGTATGTTTGAGCCTGTTTTTCTCCATTTCTACAGTTTTTGAAATTACCAGCCACTGGTGAATAAATTGAAATAAATTGCATTTCCTTGAACTTGTCTTTGTTCTCCAGGAAATGAAGTTGTCACAGTTAAGACCCCTGCATTTGCAGAATCTGTCTCAGAGGGGGACGTAAGGTGGGAAAAAGGTAAATTTGTATTATTGAGCGTTTTATAATTAATTCTGTTTAAGATATCACCCAAACAAGAAAAAAAGAGTCCGCTTGTTCTCAGATGCTAAAATCATTCTCCTGTTACAGCGGTTGGAGACAGCGTCTCTGAGGATGAGGTGGTGTGCGAGATTGAGACTGATAAGGTAAAACAAAGTTATTGTCATTACGCCGTTCTGTTAATTGTCTGATTTTGCTTAAAGGCAGGGTTGGTAATTTTCTCCAGAAACACTTTTTAAGATTTTGGTTGAAATTGTCTTTAGGTCCTGCCAGAAATTAATAACTCATGTGCTCTGAAAAAGGAAAAAAAGACAATTGGTCATCTGTTGCTGTTGTACTGTAAGCATGTAAAAAGTTCGACCGATGTCTGCCACGAGGTACCAATTTTAAGTTAGTTTTAGAAAATTACCAACCTTTCCTTTAAGGAAGTGAAATCCATCAAGTTTTCAGGGTAAAACTAATGAAAGAATTTGGGCATGACTGTTTCCAGTTTCCACTTTATCCATAAAAAGTCAGTTTGCTGATGCTGAGTGGTGTGAGAGATAGTAAAAGGACAAAACTTTACTTTTGTTCCCTTTTCAAACATGCTTTAATATTAAATTGAAACAATGCTTCCAAAACATTGGACATTTGATTTTTAATTACATTTCCACTAAAATAAATGTCTGCCTTTTATTAGTTTGACTCAAGCGGCAACATTCAGTCTTGAAAAATGAAGCCAATGAGGAAGTGCAGAATCCTGCAGTTCCTTGAGTGTCCGATTGAGGCTGGAACACCAGAAGTCACAAACACATTACAGGCAAAGAAGCTGTTTTTAACAGCGTAAATAAACATGTTTACAGCCTGGTACAAAAAAACAAATAGGTCTGATTAGTTATTGTGATCACTGGCACACACTGTATGGGGGGTGATTATTATTATTTTTTAAACGGCTCTGTTTTGATTTTGAAACGATACATTTTTTTCATAGTTAGGCGCGTAGCTGACATGACTGACAGGTGGGCGCGATGTAACGGTTATTCAAGAGGCTTAAACCCTGCCTCAGCTTTGGTTCTAAGCCCCTCGTTAGGTTGACTAAAAGTTAGGCTGAGACAGCATTTCCAGCATGGCGGCGGCTGACCATGAATGTCCGGAGCCCACTGCCTTAACAGATGGCTGACATCACTCAGGCTTCATCCATTAATATTTACAGTGTGTGGTTTGACTCCAGAAAACAACAACATACATCCTGTCAAGAAGATCTTTTTAGAACTGTCTTTCGCCACTAAACTTTTGATTAATTTGACATGTATATTCTTGTCCCTACCTTTAGACATCAGTGCAGGTTCCTTCTCCTGCTGCTGGAGTGATCGAGGAACTTTTGGTCCCTGATGGAGGGAAGGTGGAGGGAGGAACACCGCTCTTTAAGCTTCGAAAAGGAGGTCTGCAGTACTGTATTATTCCTGCATAAAAAGACTGGATAGTAACATCATGAAGATGATTCTTCAAAATCAGTTTTATAACAGTTTTTCTCTGTGCATTTAGCTGTTGCTGCAGCCACTAAAGCAGCTCCAAAAGCTGAGGCCCCTGCTGCTGCAGCCCCTCCACCACCTTCTGCTGCTGCTCCTCCACCTCCCCCTCCTCCACCCTCAGCTGTGGGCCCCATTCCCACCACTATGCCCCCTGTGCCACCTGTGCCAGCACATGCTATGGACACCAAACCAGGTTAGTCGAATGGGACAGCAGGCCTGTGTCATGTGAGAAGTGTTTTGCTTGACATCTGTGCTCTTGACCTCTAGCTTACAGGATTAATCATTGTTAACGCTCTGTAGGCAGTGACTGTGACTAACAAAGTGTCGTCCATAGACACTGACTTCCTCTTTATGTCTGTCTCTTAGTTTCAGCCATCAAGCCCACTGCTGCTCCCGCTGCTGCAACAGTTCAAGCAGAGACAGGGGCTAAAGGAGCCAGGACAGAGAGTAGGGTAAAGTGCAAAACTCAAAATGTCACCAAAATATTTTGGCTAGAGTCATTTCATTTTTATTAAATGGTCTGTAAGAGTTGGGCTAGATTTAAGATCTTTCATGTTTAATGACTGATACTTCTTTTCTTTTTTTTCTTCTTCTCTTTCTTTCTTTCTCGAGTTTAGGTTAAGATGAACCGCATGAGACTGAGAATTGCTCAAAGACTGAAGGAAGCCCAAAACACCTGTGCTATGTTGACTACGTTTAATGAGGTCGACATGAGGTAGGAAATACTAAATTAGATGATCTACTTTATTAAGCCCTCATTGCTATTTTACTTGATAGATGTTTTTAGTGACGGCAATATACACAAATAGAATAAACTGAGGGAAAGAGACAGGCTTTATTAGAGCAAAGAAATCAAAGTGGTTAAAATATTTTTGTCTTTTTTTCCTCTGCAGTACTAAACAGGATGCACACTGAATGTACAGCTGTGTTAAAAGCCAAAACAACACTTGGTTATAGATTGGATCAGCCAAATAGGAAAAGCTTTCTGAAACCCAATATCCTCTTAAACACTGGAATGTAAATATTTGGTGGTAATGCCATCTAAAACGAAGATAAGAATTGGTAAAACGGGTTTTATTAATTTACAAGGAAATGTTATTGTCTCCACTCGCCCCCTGTGCTGAAGAGGACACTTTGAGGATTTCTTTTTCCCCGCAAATCTGTGGTGTCAGCTTTCAGCTATTCAGGGTTTTCTATGTATCCTAATTAGATTGACATTGACGGTCTGGAGGAAGACTTCCCAGGCTAGGGCTCATCTGGAGCCGAAGGAGCGAGTCAGAGCAGGAGGCTGGAGCATCTGCAGGGGCCCACAGAGACCTGCGCACTGAGTGGAAGAGCAGCCTCAACCGATATGGGCTTTTATGACAGCCCAATAAGATTTACAGGCTCTAGAAAGTGAAGATTTTTATCGCTTCTTCTCTCCTTTCTCGGAGAGTCTGTGTCTTGGGAGGGGCTAATTTTGTTAGCGGAGAAACCCAAGAGCTTCAACAGGGTTAGAGACAGGAAAACAAACAATTAAAAAGAGAGATACAAGAGAAAAATGAGCAATGATGAAACGATTACCAGGAAAATTTCAATAGCTTACATTCCCCCCAATATGTAACAGCAATGTTTCATTGCCATAAAAAAATGACATTTTTGGTTCTTTGAAATTATTTAATATTTGTGTCTATTATTTATTTTTACATGATTAGAATATTTGTTAAACTTATTTAAGAGTTTTCTGTATCTTTATTTCTGTTTATAATCTGTTTGATTATACAAGAGAATACATTTTTAATTAACATAATTTTTACATTTCTGCTCTGTTTCCTGAACTAACAGCATCAAAAATTTAAACCTAAAAACAGTATTGAATGTGTGTAAAAAAAGGTTCAGATTCATTGATACAGACTCCTAAAAAATAAATAGATAAACTTCATGTTTTATTATTTATTTTTCAAGAAGTGTTATTTGTAAAAGCCTTCAGTGTCTAACGATTTTCTTACTGCCATCAAATCACATTTTAGATTGTCTTAAACCCTGTGTGTTGCTCTTTTTAGACAATTGAAGCTCATTTATCTTATTTTGTTCTCTTTCCCTGCAGCAACATCACAGAGATGAGGAAGACATACAAAGACGCCTTCCTGAAGAAGCACAACATCAAATTGGGCTTCATGTCCGCGTTTGTGAAGGCTGCTGCCTACGCTCTGGCTGACCAACCTGCAGTCAATGCCGGTATAAGTTCAACCTTGAAAGATCAAGAAATCTGTCTTTGTGGTTTCTGTTTTGACTCTGTCTTTGCACGTTTGGTTTTGTCAAGCCTCTGCAGACTTGTGTGTGTGTTTGTGTGGTTAAAGAAAATGATCTCAGGCCTTACTATTCCATTCCAAAACCTCGAAACCAACACTAACTTATTTACTGCCTTTCAGAACACCCGACCTATTTAGACAGACCACAGTTAATGGGGGTAGGGGGGCTCTGTTTGCTGGCAAAGAAATTGAAATTTTCTGTGGGTTTCACCCTCCATGGCTTTTCACTTGCACGTTATAAGAAATGTCACGTGAACAGGAAATGTAGAATGCAAATGTAGTGGTGGTTCACAGGTTAATCTGTATTTTAACTTTATCTGCCATTTTTTTGTTTTTGTTTGACTTAATCTGTTTACACATTTTTTTTTTTTTTTTATTGTTTTCAGTTATTGATGACACCAGCAAAGAGATTGTGTACAGGGACTATGTGGACATAAGTGTAGCTGTGGCCACGCCAAAGGTAAGACAAGTGCATCACATCCTAACGTTAAGTTAAGTGCTTGAGGCTCCACTTGTCTCTTAATGTAAAGGGCAGAAAATTGAGTAACATATTTTTTCTCTCAGGGTCTGGTGGTTCCTGTAATCCGAAGCGTAGAGGGAATGAATTTTACTGACATCGAGAAGGCCATCAACTTGTTGGGAGAAAAGGTAATATTTGATTGAAGTTAGATGTGTGTTTGTTGTAGTTGTGTTTGATTCTCGTGCTCTTAAGACCTCCACATTATGAGATCGGCTGTAATTCTGAATGTATTGTATGCAGGCTCGTAAGAATGAGCTGGCCGTGGAGGACATGGATGGAGGAACCTTTACAATCAGTAACGGCGGCGTGTTCGGGTCCATGTTTGGCACACCGATTATCAATCCACCACAGTCTGCTATCTTAGGCATGCATGGCATCTTTGACCGGCCGGTTGCAATTGGTGGCAAGGTAGGTTTCCTTGGTGTTACACAGGAAACATTTAATAAAGTATTTAGAAAGCTTTGTGTATGTACAGAGAATGGAGGTTAAATGAATAAGTGATATCTAGGGCAGGTAAAAGAGTGAATTTAATTTAATTTTTTTTTTTAACCAGTGAAAAATCCCAAACGTACATTTTTCAATCATCAGTTGTAATCTACAACCAATGAGAGCCAGCAGTTAAATTCAAATGTTGAATGCTAGTTCTTTACTTCGTCAAAATTCAGTAGTTTCTTGTGTTTTTTTTACAGGACATTTCTCAATATTTCTGAATATGTGTGTGTGTGTGTGTGTGTGTGTGTGTGTATGTATGTATATATATATATATATATATATATATATATACTTCTGAATAAACTATAATAATAAAGTAGCCTAGGTCTTATGCTTGGCCTAAAATTCCCATTCTGACCAGTGTGAAGCTGTCTTTTTAAATGTTTACACTCTTACAAATATTGAATGATAATCTGTGATACAGAGATTTGAAGAATAGATGAATATCATCTCAACCTTGTGTTATTGTTGTTTTTTGAAAACATGTTTTTCTTTAGCTAGAACAAGTATTTATTTTTTCAAAGCATTAGAAGTTTTTTCTCATTATTTTTTTTGTGCTCAGGTGGAGATCCGTCCCATGATGTATGTTGCCCTGACATACGACCATCGTCTCATTGATGGTAGAGAGGCCGTCACTTTCCTGCGCAAGATCAAGTCAGTAGTGGAGGACCCACGGGTGCTGCTTCTTGACATGTGAGCCGCTGTGAGCTCCAGGCCCACCCAGACAAACGACCCCTACACAAACAGTTGCCGTTTCCACCCGATGAACATTACCCGTCACTGCAGTTGATGTATTGTTGTTTTGGTTAAGTAGAAGAAACATTTGGGACATTTGTAAGGCTGGTGGTGCTGAAAGGTTTAGTTCTGATGTGGGGAGATGTTTGGGGTCAGGGGTTTCTGTGGTGCTGGTCTCTAGATCAAAAAGAAGATATTCTTTAACTCATGCGCCATGTGTCATTTTCTACATATGAATGAAAAATATTGTATAAAATGGAAGACAAACAGATGGACTGCATAAGTATCATTTGATTATTTTGGTTGAAAGAAGAACAATGAGCACATATGCAGCCATAAACCAAGACCCACTATGTTCTCAAATGTCCAAAGTCAAGAAACCCTCTATGAATTAATGTCACCTGTTTTTCAAAAGTGAGGATAATTCTCTATATGCTGTGTAAGAAAGACTATTTAAGAAAAAAAAAGAGAGTTTTAAACAATAAAAGCTGCATTACATGACTGTCAGTTTATGTTTTGTTGTGTGCTCTCATATTAACACTGGACAGTTTTCATTCACCTGTGATGCAGATTTATGGCATAAAGAATCAGTTTAAAACATATTAAATAGTACTAGGGTGATATTAAATGGATTTAATGAAGTACGTCTGAATTGAATCAGCTGTTTCTCCCTTAAATATTTAGGTTTTTACTGATCTTGTGTGTGTACAATGTGGAATATTAGTGGTTAAGGTGTTTATAAGCTCTTATAAAAGTACTAACAGTGTTAGGATGTCATGAAACTTTCTCTGAAGAGCAGATACCAATGTAGGATGGATGAAGAGGAACAGTCATGTCAGTGAGCTGGAGTTTGGATCTCTGACAACTGATGAAAACACATCAAGACGCTAGAAAGCATATCTACATTAAAACTGAAGTCACCTCTTCTGAAGGGTACTTTGTAAGTTATGCTGATGTGCTGATGCTGCTTGCTCAAAAACTCCAGATCAGATCAAACATGGAGACAAAGTACTACTGGAATACCGGGTGTAGAGAAGAGGTTATCATTTATTGCCTCATTTCTGTGTTTATGGACGACATTTGGAGTCAGTCCAAATATTTGTAAATATCAGAATCAACTTTGAGTTGGTTTCAGTTTTCATGCTGGGGAATAAAGGAGGTGATATTCATGGATACAACAAAAGTGAGAATTTTTTTGTTCTTCATAATATTCGGAAGTTAAACATGGTTGGTCCGATTAGTTCTAGTTTTTTTTTTCTTCTTGTGTAAGCACAAAAGTCAAAGGAGAACAGGGGTCTGGCTCTGCCCCCATTCGGCCTCATTATGATTTGATTCCATTTAACCCCAATCGTCAAGCAGGACGAGGGGATCAGAAGAGCTGCAGCTGCTCCTGTTAGCAGCTCAGAGCTTTCCAGGAGACAGCGCTGAAGAAGGGATGACACTTGATGTCACTGACGCCTCCACCTCCAGAACCCAAACGATAGCCAGCATCGAACTGAAGCAACTGTGGAGCAGAGTAATCGAGGGTGGAGAGATAATGTTAGATCAATTCAGAGTATTAAAAGTGAATGTTGCTGAGTGCTTTATATAGAAGAGAACAGAATCCTTGAGGGTGTTTCAAGCCTAAAATCTGACCTCAGTGAGCAGAGACGCAGCTGCAGTGCTCAGGTGGTCTGGGATGAGCAGTTGGGTGTGGGAGTGGATTCCTGCTGGGTGGAGCTGCCAGAGTGGCTGGAGACACAGTGAGCAGAGACAACATTGACCTAGTAATGTGTTTTGCGTGAATGATGTGCAATGAGAACGCTGCAGACTTAATTATTCAGCACTGAACATGCTTATGAAGACTTTGCTCACCATTCCTGTTAGAAGTTCAAACAACAAAGCCCCCAGACTCCACCAATCACAGGCTTCTGTTACCCTGGATACACCACCAATCTCTGTCAACAATTAATGATCCCGGTTTAGTTGCATTCATGAAAAACAATATCTGAAAAAATAACCCTCATACAAAGTGCTGTACTGCCTAGTTTGCGTAGCCTAAGTGTACCATCTAAATCTTTCCACTAGGTGGCGCATTACACCAATGACCCATTGCTTTCAGTCTGCAGCAATGAATGTTTCTTACCTGGAGCACAGTACATCTGGTCCATGGCTTTGGAGCAAATCTCTGACTGAACTTCACTCCACTGGCCGAAAAAAGTCAAACACACCTTTCCTGCAGAACACATTATGTTTGATCAAAGTCTAACATCTTCAGATGGGGACATGCAGTCCTACATTTATTTACACCATTTTCCTGAGATGATGAGTTTTCTCCAGATCTTGACTCATCCTCGTTATCTGCTGGTTTCCCCTGATACCTAGTTATTTCAGCTGGTTTCTTGAGATTGTTTTTCTTGTTATTCCTGAGAAAATAAAGGTGTTTTTCCCCATATAGCGGATTCATTTATCTCATTATCTCATAATCTTTCTGGCAATCTGGAAAGCGAAACAGTAGGCCGGTCACCGTGACAAAACCACAGAGCCGAACCCCATCACACCATGCTGACATTTCCCATAAACAAGCAAGTTAAGCCTATTTTTTTTTAATTGCTTTTGCAACTCTTGCAGTACAAGATAATTAAGTTACGGTCTCAAGCACAACCAGAAATGACACAGGTTACAGTTATCACAGGAGAACAGAATAAATATGAAGTGCATACATTTCCACTTGAGGCATCGGCAGACCGCTGTATCACACATGAAGTTTTAAGAGGACATTTGATGAACTCACCATTGCTGGTAAGCAGAACATTCCTTGGGTTGAGATCCCGACATAGGATGCCTTGCTGATGCAGACTCTCCAGTGCCAGTAGGATCTGAGCGCCCCAGACACGCACCTCTGCCTCGGGAAGCCCCCAGCAGGTCGGCACAGCTTTATCTGCAGACCTTGAGGGCTTGACGGGGAATCGCGGCAGGTGGCACCATCCATCCACCTCGATGATCTGGTCTTCCCCGTGACACTCTGATCCCTCTGATTTAACGAGAACATCCGTATCCACTGACTTGTTACTGGGCGGGGCTTCAAGAGTGCCGGAGGAGAACCAGCTCATAAACGATCTCTCCTTTGCAGGCGCTACCTTTTCTTTTGGACTCAATTCACAGGCTTCTTCTACGCCATCTCTTAAACATGTTTCCTCTTTGTACTTGTCCCCTGTGAGGGCAAGTTGGACCCCTGCAAATGTCTCCTGTTTTGTTGCAAAGCTGTGACAGAGCGAGGCAGAGGGAGTCCAGGAACTCTCTACAGAGATACATGAGTCTGTATGTTCAGAAAACACCGCTCTGTCCGTGCTCCTAATGACTACCATTCCATTTCTCTCCTCGTTTGTCGGGCTGCTGTCCTGCTTTGACTCTGAAACTGTATCTGTGGAGTTACCAGTCAACACAGACCCTTGGAGAGAGGCATTGTTTTCCCACGATGCCCTTCCCCGGATCTGAGTTTGGCAATGGAGAGGAAGATGCAAAATGGCAGGGGAGGAACTCAAACCATTATATTCACTGTTCGGAGATCCTGCTTTTACAAATGAGGTCTGACTGGTACGAGGTGAAGTTGGTCCTTGTGTGCTGTGTGAATGACTGTCGGTCACTGCATAGGGGTTGTTTTTCTCACAGTTTTGTGCTGCATCTGCAGTTTTCCAAGCCACTTCAAACTCAGAGCTGCACTCCGTCAGCCCCATCCCAGCGTTCTTTGCGTGCAGTCCTGACATCACATCGAGGGCCTGGCTGACACGAGCACAAGACAGTGGGAGAGCGGGCTGTTCCTGAGTTTCACTGGAGTGCAAACACAAACTGGGAGCTGGTGGATGGATGCGGGTGTTGACCCGTGTTTTCGTGGGGCCAGAATGCAATGTCAGCCGTTCGAGCTTGGTATAAAATGAAGCTGCGGAGCGTTTGTTCTGCAAACAGCCCGTCTCCTCGATGTAGGAGTGAGTCCCGCAGCTCTCCAGACGCTGCTGAGTCTCGTCCCATGAAGTGGGGAAGTCCGCATCCCCACTCTCATCCCTCGGTTTTCCTTCCGTGCTCCCGCTTGTGTTGTGCTGGTAGTCTGCGCTGATCGTTGGCGAGGTGTAACTGGTCTTCATCTTGATGCTAGGCTGCCCGGAAGTGAAACATTCAGGATGCTCCTTGGCTCTCTCGTTCCTTAGTTTGTGCAGCTTGGAGAAAAGCCTCCCGCCTAGGATGATAAGGTAAGAAGCACTGGATCATGACATTGGCTCAATGATGCTTTTAATTGTTTCTGATGCTAAAGGCAAAACTTGGCTCACAGCTTATAATAAACTGTATTTACTGTATTTAGAGGTGTCTTAAAGCCTCACCACTGTCCCAGCAGAACTAACAGAGCTGATATTCAAAACTCACCTTTGATATGCTCCAGATGCAGGTACACAGCATCCTCGCTGACATAATATCTCAGCAACTTCACCATGTAGGGCACCCCCTGAGGAATGATGGTTGGCTGGTCCCTGCTCTCCCAGCTCGACTTTACCAGACTCTAAAACAACAAATACACATTGATGACTGATCTTTCTTTAAAAGAGGGAATATGCATGAATGCAAAAGGAAAACAGTGTCACTCGTGCTTTAAAAGCAGAAAAAAAAAACATATAGGCCTATTATTTCATGTACTGTCTCTTTAAAGATCCTGGCCTATCTGTTATGGTCTCTGGTCAGTGAAATTTGAGTCGACTTGCACTGGCTAAAAGTGTGAGAGCTGTCAGGCAGATCAATGCTGGGTGATACTCAGGGAGACAGGATACAGAGAGCTCCCATGGACCAGTCTGCCACACAATACAAGGACAGGCTCACTGCCAGAAGGCAACCGTAAAAAACGTATCAGATTTCAGTAGTTAGATTTTGAGCATGAACCTGTCTTTAAAACAGGCGGTTTAAAGCGTCTGGGATGAGATTTAAGCAGGTACTTAAATTATTGTTGGTGCCAACATAAGCAAACAAGATCATCAGGAATAATTAAGTCATTTTCTATACAGTGATTTTAATGCCTTACAACCTGCTGCTGCGGGGTAGGTGTCAGATAAATTGATAAACAGCACGCCGCAGAAACAGTCATTTTCCATTTTTACAACAAAGAGTCTCAGTGAGTGACAACTCTTAAAATAAGCACAATGAGATTTTTTGTTAAAAGAAAAAGAAGCTTTATACACATTTAGACGAAAATTAAAGAGGTAGCACTGAGTCAACATGGGGCCGCAAGAATGAACACAAGCTGAGAGTTACTCACAAGAGTTTCCATTTATCACAGCGCAATGCCAAACCGTTATTCACTCGATCTTCCTACTGATTTTTCTGTATCCTTGGAAGAAAAGTGAATACTGACCTTTACAACAAATGTCTCCTTATTGACCATACTTTGGACGATCAGGACCTTTGGAAAGAAGAATAACACCCTCAGACAACCATCGGGATACAACTAGGAAGTTCGGACAAAAAGCCAGAACAGATTCCTAAATGCAGTGTTAGGAGTTCTTAAACATTCATTCTTACCTTATCAGTCACTCCAACCACCTTACACATCTCTAGGTCCTCCACAGGCGAACTCAAGTGTCTGATTGGACGGAACCTCAGACTGCTGTAACCCTGGAGATGACAGGCACAGACGATATCAGTGACATACAATGACGCAAGCAAGAAATGCTACTTTTCCACATTTTCCACATTTTCCCAAGGGTTTAGCTTGAGATAAACAGCCGCTTAATACTTCATTTATTCATTAATTAATCTCACTTATCCAATATCAGACATGTAAACTCCAAAAATGCGTCAAAATGCCCTAATTTTATAACCATTAATAACAACTCAGAGGTATTTCTAGGCAACAATCAAGATTGTGCTACTTTTGTGTTAGTAATTGAAAGGATGATTGTCTTACTCCTAAATAAGAGCTTCCCTTGCCGAGGTTGTCCTGCAGATGTGTGATGAAGATTTCTTCAGCTCTTTTCAGATACTGGGTTGTTTTCCTCTTCACTGCCTCTCGACGTTCCTTGTTTGGGTCCACTGAAAAAACATTCAACTCTATCAGACAGCAATAAAAAGAAATTAAAAAAACACAGTAGGTGCGTGATAATGTAACAGACAATACACTATTTAAACACCAGCTAACAAATGACTAAAGTGAGTGTTATGGGACTTCCTGTTTTTATTCTCGTTCATATGTTTCCCATCACATGTCTTGTGCAAACACGCCTCTTCAGATCACCCCATTTACAGAATCACAAGCTTTAAAAGACATGCGTATTGTCCACTTACACTGAACCCCATTCAGCAGCAGGTCCACCCCATTCTTATAGTAACTGAAAGCCGCCTCATAGTCCTCGTTGACCTCGCTGTCCAGGGCCATGCGGATCTGCTTGGCCGCCTCCACCAGGTAATCCCTCTTTGCCATTGCTGCCTTGTTTCGGACCCTTCAGGGACCGGATGGGCCTGAGCACAGCAGGAAAGAAAACAAGACACTGTTGATTCAGCAGGACTAAATTCAGACACAGCAAGAGATGAGAAACAGAAACTAAATCTTAAGCTGCAGTAAGTGAATCATACGGCTTCTGTCTGACTCATGAAGAGTATTTTAAGACCATAGCAGTCTCGCTCGTGCCTTACCTTTGCACTTTGGTCTTCTCATCAAAAGGACACATCTCTGTATGTTGTCCCTGGGCTCTGTAAGTGTCCACCTGCAGCAACTCCAAGGCTCAGGTCTGTGCAGCCTAGCATGATCATCTGAGCAAAGCAGTGGAAACAAAGAGTTAACCTCCAGACCAGCACAGGAAGTGAGTACAAGCTTGAGCCCACTATTTCTAATGAATGGAAAGAAGCACAAAATGCAAACGTACAAAAATGACAGGGCGGTGACTCAGAGCACTGAGGAACATTGTCGTGTGTCTCTGGTACATCTGGTTAACATTTTTAATGTGACACTACAGAATATGTGAGCCTCCAAACCGTGCTTCACATTCCTAGTTCCATATGCTACAAGCACATGTTTTTTTTTTAATCTTACAAAGTGGCTGCATAAAAATCGACCCACATAAGCCAAAAATCACATGAAATGGATTATTTTCCAAATGCTAAATACATTCTTTGCTGTCATGTATATTTAACATCACTAGAATTATGAATTAATATTTGTCAGATTTAACAAATATATCACCAGTAGGGCAAATGAGGCTAATGCTAACAAGCAAATACAATACAATAAACAGATGTCAAATATAATGCAGATTTTTTTTTGTTTTTTTTTTCCCTGAATGTGGCTGTAAAACAAACATCACACACATACACACCCTCATCCTGGTTACAGTCATGGAGGCTACATCCTCCAAGGGGGTGTTATGAAACACACAAAGCCATCTTCAGTCTCCTCCAGCACCATCCATCACCTTCCAAACATGCATTCCCATAACGACTGACATAGCATGACACAGTGTTAAATAAAGGAATGCAAATCACACTGTACCTGATTTGGTGCGATCATGCCCCTCCACACCTCGCAGCTATAACAGCTACACCAGCATCATCTTCATCATCAGCAGCAGCAGTACCCGTGTCTTCAGCAGGACTCAACACACTCCTCTCAGGAGCAGAGGAGGGGGAAAGAGCTCAGGCAAGGCTGCTGATTGGCTGAGCGTGATGTCACTTCAGGGTACCATTTCACACAAGGCGCGCACTCTCCCCCCCCCCCTCCTCTCATTCTGACAGATGCTGACCGATTTAAAGAGACAGTACTGTTTTTGTGCGTACTGACTCAAGACCACTTTTAACCCTGAGTTTGACTCCCTAAATGGATTACAATCTATTTAGTGCTGGTGTTTAGTGTTCGTGATTAGTGTTTACTACAACCAAATCCCATAGGAAAATGATTACATTTATAAATTACAGTCTGCAGTTTAGGCTTGATGTCTCCGTTCTTTTATGAATAGAGAGAAACCCTGCTCAGGATTTATAATCTGCTGGTTCTTGGTGCTCAGTACCAGATGGAGCCAGGCTCCAACCACAGCACAAAGGAGAGTCGCTCCCTCCCAAGGGAGGGCCGGCTTACAGAGGAGGGAGGCAGGATGGAAGGAGAGGAAGAGGGGGAGGGACTGAGATGTATCAGCTGCTGAAACCTTATCCAAAAAGCAGGAAGGGAGGGGTACAATTCATTTTTACATGACATTCTGACATTTTAATTGAAACCAGTGGACACTAATTTGAATGCCCAATATTAATTGCATAATACAGCAGATTGAAGAACACAGGCCATCACTCTTGATGGCCTGTGTTCTAAACCTCACATTATGGGACACATAATAACTATGGCTGTACTCCTCACCTGTCTTGGTGTCATAGCAGTAACAGATCTCCTCAGTCTTCAAATCTCCAGGCCTGGTGGAAAACATTACCACACAAACAGTAAAGGCTTTCCCAGCTTGTAAGTACTGGTGCTCTATTCATCCATGAATGATTTCTGATCGATTTTAGAACAAAGATTTTACCCTTGGCGTCTGTTGTGGCATACATTACCCACAATCCTTTTTCATCTGCTGAAAAATCATCAATCATATCATTTTTTTATGTTCTTTTGTGACTTCCATGTAACTAAAAACAGATGAGGTCAAATTTAATTTGGACATTCTGGAAGGATCAGCAGCCTGGTAAATAAATACTGTTACCTTGAATCATTAAGTTATTCCCTGTGCCTAAGTAGCCTTGTGGTGAAGTGTGGTATGTAAAGGTGGATCTCTGAAGGAGTTTGTCACAATAAGAGTATAAGTAAAATTCAGAACAGTTCATAACAAGGACATTTATCTTCTGGACTTACGAGCCAGGCCAGTGCAGGGCTCAGAATGGCAAAGAAAGATGCAGCAGTTTATGTGCATTGTGTCTCTGCTGAGGATGTCTGTTGACTCTCTGATGAGATTGCTCCTATGGTTTGTGGGTTTCAACACTCTTACTTGCAAAAATTAAACATGTGACACCATTCAACAGTCGTACAGTAACTATTTACGTGCTTGAGACCAGTGCAGACATGTCACCGCAGCAGGGTTATGAAGTTCTGGTTATTTCTTTATTAACCAAACTTCAGCATGTAAATAATCAATGCTATCTGCAAAATTCTGACTAAATTATTGGGACAAATCATTTGAAAAAAACATGAACATTTTGTTTCCATATGATTTGGTTAGACCATTTTTTGGGGGTTTTTTTGTGCCTTTATTCGAGAGACAGGACAGTGGATAGAGTCGGAAAGAGAGAGAGTAGGGAATGACATGCGGGAAAGGAACCTGGGCTGCCCGCTTGGAGAACTACAGCCTCAATACATGGGGCGCGCGCACTAACCACTGCACCACTGCACCACCAACACCCCTCCATAGTTACCATTCTGATTAGTAAGAGATCAACACAGTGAATATTTACAGAAACAATGTTTTGGGTAAAAAACCCAACTTAGGCACATGTACCTCAGTGTTTCTGTGTGAAGTGTACTTTAATTCCTGAATTCTATACACTCTTTATGATTATACCGTTACTTTGTCTCATGTTACAGACTTCACCTCCTATGTGATACTTGATTAGCATGATTTAACCAACTTTTACTATGCTGATGTCCAACATGTGGCCTGGAGTGAACTCAAAGACTCACTGAGAGATTTCATGAGCACATCTTGAGCATTCTGGGTTTCCTGGAATAAACAATTTGACTAAGGGGCAAAAAAATAAGGGGCATTTAATTTTATGAAGCATGATATTTGATTGTAGGTTCTTCTTTACACTGCTTTTAATTTTCATTTGCTATGGCTATTAGTTGGATTATGATAATCATCTTTTATTTCACCATCTGGGAATAAAAACTTCAATCACTTCACACATTTTGAATGCTTCAGTTTGATTTTATTCAAGAAAAGATTTTGGTAGATATATAGATCTCCCGGGGCAGCGTGATTCAAAACAGATCAATCGTGTTAATCACAAAACGATGGATCACAAAGACAAAAGGACTTAATCTTTATTGAACCTCACATTGTAGGACACATAGTAGCCGTTGTTGTACATGTAGAGCTTCTGATCAGTGGGATTGTAGTCCAGGTTGAAGTATTTCTCCTGGAACTTGGGGAAGCGAATGCTCAGGTTTTTCTCCTCCCTGGTCTTACTGTCAAAGGCGTAGAAGATCTCTTCTGTGGTCACATCCACTGGCCTGGTGACATACATGACTCCACAGGCCATGAAAGCATTACCAGCCCTTTGCTTGTACACACCAGTGCTTATCACATCCTCGATGCCAAACGATTTCTCATCAATTTTAGCTAGGACTATTTTACCTTTGCTCTCCTCAGAGGCATACATTACCCACAATCCTGTTTCATCAGCTGCAAAATCCAGGTTCTGATTGTCTGAGTAACTGTACGAGAACCTTTGACTTGCCGATGGAATCACGCGGTAGTCTTTTGCAGAACTGGTCAGATTTAGTTTGCCCATGCTGAAAGGATTGTTGATTTGATAATACATGGTGTTACCACGAACTATGTAATTGTTACCAAAACCTGACCATGCTAAGTCATGGTATTTGGAATTAGACCTGAGAAGCAGCTTTTCATAGTCAGCATACTGATAGAAGTCGTGCACATAGGGGCCGCTATAAGCACCGTACCAGTACATTGACTCAGTGCCTCTAACTGGTTTGGAGTCTTTTCCCCAGCCACCATATTGGTATCCCGGGCTCAAATGAGCATTCAGTTGGACCACCAATGGCTTGCTGATGCTCAGGATTCCTGTATGATTGCAGTTGCCTGGGGAAAAAAGGAAAATATTAATATCAGCAGGAAAAGTTACCTTTTTTAAAACCATTTATCCCCTTCTTTCTTGTTGTCTTACCAATATCCGGCTCGATGTACTCCTGCTCCTTCTGGCACTCCTCTAGCTTCTTCTGCAGTTTAGCAAACTCAATGCGGATCACCTGCAGGTTGCTCTTGTCGTATGTCTCCAGTTGGTTCACAATAAGGGTCATGTTGCGGATCTGGGATCAAACACATACATTAGATTAAAAAACTATTATGTTATTATTATAATATCCATATAATATATCATTATCACCTCAGTGTACAGGCTGTCGAACATGGGCGAGGAGGAGTTTAGGGACTCTTTGAGTTGAGACACCAGAGCCTCGAACTCTCTGAGCTCGATCCTGAGCATCTCAAAGTCCAGTTTGATGTAATTGTCAGCACTGCTCTCCAACATGGCCACTCGTAAGCTCAGGGCCGCCAGTTCCTTTAGATAGACCTCCAGCTTACCCTGGTAGCCCTCAATCTGAATGAAAAAAAAACATGACTCAGCCGGAAAAAAAATTATTAAATGGGTGCTTTAATGCATAAATACTGGCAAACACTCATCCCAATAGGCCCGACTGCACCTTGTTCAGTTGAATGTCCACTTCCAGGATCAGATCCTTGCTGACTTGTTGCATATGCTGAACCCGGTCTACAGGGAAGATGGTCTCAGGCAAATACACATGACAAAGGCACTGACCAGACTCACCCACTGATGTTGTCACATTGCCAGACTCCCAGTCCTCCACAGGCTGAAATAACAGAAACAACAACACTGATAACATAATAAATGACAGATAGCAGCATATTCAGGAGAAATAAGTGGTCACTTGCAATCCAGGCTGAAGCTGGAGTGAGGGCTGAAAGAAGCAGCAGCAGAAGAAATGGCAGCATCTTGTAACACTTTTCCTACCAAGTGTCTCCTTGTGGGCCAGCATGGAGGGCTTTTAAAGACCGATGTTATCATATAAGAACACCTTCTATCTCCTCATGTTTATCTAACATTATCAGTTTATGATTACACCTTCGTTTACTGAAGGTAATTCTGATCTGCTTATGGAAGGTGGATGAGAACAATGTCAGATGTGATGAATTCTGGCTGCTCCTTGTTTTGTTTTATGGTCTGCTAGCTGAGTGTTGCATGTGTTAGTATTGTATCAGTCATCAGTCATCAGATTTAAAATCAGATACAGTTTTAGATACGGGTATGGAAATGAATCCCAATCTAAACCAGTGAGATGTAACATATCATCTGCCTTATTATTTTCATCAGTAAAGAAAAATGTTTTTCACTTATATGAATGAAAGAGTCAAACTATCTCACTGTAGTGTTTTCTCATCCACTATTGTGTTATCTTTTGCATGTGACACCATGACTGTTATCATATTATCACAAACACCGTCTATCTTCCCATGGTTGGTTTGTTCATATTATTAGATTATGAGCATATCCTTGTTTGCTAAGAGTAACTTTGCTGAGTGCACCAGCTCAGGTGTGATCTTTACATAAAGAGTGGATGAGAAGCGTGCCAGATGTAGTGAATTCTGTCTGCTCCTTGTTATGTTTATGGTCTGTTGGCAGACAGATGACGGATCACATGTGTTTGTATTGTCATCAACAGAGAGCTCTTCCTCATCTAATATTGTGAAATCTTTTGCACGTGACTTTTCTGTTGTTTCTAACAGAGAAGTAAGCACTGTGCCTCAAGTGAAGTTTTAGGTGAAATGTTGAATCAAACCCCAGTAAATTACTTAGTAGGAACACTCAAAAGCAGGTTTAAAAGGAAACATCAGTGCAGGCGTGACATCTATCCTACCTTTATGTACACCATATATTCAGTTTGGGTTGTGGGGGGCTGGAGCCCATCCCAGCTGTCACTGGGCAAGAGGCAGGTACTCCCTTGAAAGGTTGCCAGTCAATCACATGTAGACACACAACTATTCACACTCACACCTGTGGGCAGAATTAGAGTCAGCGAACAACCTAACTATATTTTTACCTGGAGGGAACCAATGCAAATTCCGCACACTTGAAATCAAGAATCTTCTTGCTGTGAGGTGACAATGCTAACCACTGCACCAGTGTGTAGCACAATGTCATTTGTAAATGTGTAGGAATTTAATGTTATGTTTTGGTTTACTAGAACTCAACAAGCCCTTTCATATCAAACAATTTGACATATAATTTCTAAAAAAAAACTGCTGGTGTTGCCGATTTATTTATTACGAGTACTTCACATTTAGATTTACTTTAACCTGGTGTTCTGCATGTTGGCTCATACGAATAGCATACAGGGACACTTTCATATAACCCGGCCTATATTCATGTTAATCCATTTTTTTACAATCATTTCCATCATCCCCATCAAAACAATACAGTACAGCATGTAAAGCACGGTGCTGCAGCCCTGTTGTTTGTGTTGTATAGTGTTGCAGGTTGTATAGGCTTCATTACTATTTCAGAAATAATTGTAGAACAGAAAATGAGAAATAAAACTTAGGTAAATCAAAGCATAAAACCACACATAAATTAAAAGCATCAACATAACAAGGTACCTAAAATTGAATTTTTAATATGATAGTTTGTCTTGCCATGGTAGCAAGAACATTGGGTTTGTTATAAAGACTTTTTGCATCCTTTGTCAAGACATATATTTGTCAACATATTCTCTCTCCAGCTTTTTCTGAAAGCGTGCACTTCCAATCTGAGTGTGTCATGATAGTGTGACAGTGAGCAGCCAGGACCATGAGAACTAGGCAGCTTTAATAATTAAGTCACCATTCATTTTATTATTTGCATTGCATGTTCTAATGTTTGCTGGCCTACATACTTTAAAGCACTGTGTCTGCTGTATTAATTATTATGCTGTATCCTGGAAGTAAACACTATGACAGCAGACTAAACATGGGCAGCAAAAACTCCCAGGAACCTTCCAAACAGATAATTCTGCGGTGTGAAAGTGTGTGAAAAGCCAGCATGAATGGGTGAGGGGAGTAATTTTAATAAGTAGTAGCTACTCTCATGTTTTGTGTCATTAGAAAACAGTTCAATATCTGTTCAGGAGAATTTGCACAAAGACACACGACAAATGTTTTGTGATGCTTGAAATCATTTATTGGCTCACAAGAAGAAGGAGAACTGAGGCAATACAGGAATTGCAAGAAAAAAATCATGATTCTTAAATTCAAGTAAATCATTGTGAATGATTTAGCTCAGGAGAAGTGATGGTTCCACTGTGGCTTCCGCTGTGTGATTAAACCACAGATGGTAGTTGACATAGTAGCCATCGTTGTACATGTAGAGCTTCTGGTCGGTGGGATTGTAGTCCAGGTTGGAGTACTTATCCTGGAACCTCTCAAAAGGAACACTGATGTAGCTCTCTTGTTTGGTTTTAGTGTCAAACTTGTAAAATATTTCTTCAGTGTGGGTGTCTACTGTTCTAACTACATAGAGAACGCCACACACCATGAAGGCATTGCTCACTCCTGGTTTATAGACACTAGTCAGCCATCCCTCTGAAACCCCAAAGGAAGGCTCGTCTATTTTAGCAATGATCAGGCGTCCGCTGGACTCTTGTGAAGCATAGGTCACCCACAGGCCAGTTTCATCTGCTGCAAAGTCAAAATTCTGACTGGGGGAGTTGGTGTAGGAAAATCCACTGCTAGCGCCAGGAATCACCCTGGACTCATATTTCATAGTTGTGAAATTGAATTTCCCCAATCCAAACGGCCTGTTTAACTGGTAATAAAGAGTGTTATCACGGACAATGAAATTGTTCCCTGTACCGGTCCAGCTGCTCTGTAAGCTGTGATGCTGAAAATGGTTTCTCAAAATTAGGTTTTTGTAATTAGTGTAGAACCTAATGTCACCAATGTAGGGACTAGTGTAGCTAGAAAACCAGAACATAGATTCTCTGTCAGGAATGGGCTTTGAATCTTTACCCCAGCCTCCGAATTTGTGGCTAGTGCTTAGATGGGCATTCAAATGGCTAACAATTGGAACACCGACCCTGATGATACCCGTATGTGCACAAGACCCTGCAGAGAGAAGGGGGGACAATTGTTAAGTGTGCCAATGAGAAGGCTAAATGTGGATCTATGTGAAGAAGCTTACCAATGTTAGGGTTGAAAAGCTCCTGGTGGCGTCTCTCGCACTCCTCCAGTTGTGCCTGCACCTTGATGTACTCCCGACGGGTTGCCAAAACCAGATTCTTGTCATAAGTCTTCTCCAGCTTATTCAGAGTCTCCACCATACCTGTGATCTAATCAGGAAAAAAAAGGAAATGGTTTGCCCGTGGATTGGCATTATGTGTGTTGATAAACTGACTGCCACTATCAGGACTTACCTGTGCTTGCAGAGACACAAAGACAGCCGTGGAGCTGCTGATGGAGAGCTGCAGCTCTTTGATCAGAGCTTCCACTTGTTTAATCTCCACTGTCATGTCCTCCATGTCGGCGTCATTGTAGTCATCGGGGTTCTTCTCCATTTTTTCAATTTCTGCTGTTAACTTCATTATCTTTTCTGCATAAGACGTCAGCTTGGTCTCATATTCTTCGATCTGGAACAATATTGTTGTTGTTTTTTTTTTACACATTTTGTACTTTTCAAATATTTCATTATCAAATTAGATAAGCCTGAATACCTTGCCCATCTCCAGCTCCAGTTTGTGTGAGACCTCCCCAGCTGTCTGCTCCACCACCACCAGGTCTTTAATGGCAAAGGTAGAGCTGGGCAAGAAGGCATCACATCTGCACCTGTCCCCACTTCCACCTCCTGTCTCATTCCTGCCCTCACTCCACAGGCCTGCACGCTGAGAAGAAATGTCAATTGTTATTTTTGTGCAGAATTTTAAATACTGATGATCAGCATAACCCGAATGTGGAAAGAAGCTCAAAGAATTAAGTAATAAATTAGTCAGTTAGTTTTTGAGTGCCATACCCCCAAGGCCATAGTGGAGCTTAGCAGTGCTAAGAAATGCAGAGTGCCAATCATTCTGGTGAAGTCTGAGTTGGTATGATCAGTACAGCTGGATCCTCAGAGCTTATATAGCCTGTTACAATATTTGAAGGTTGTAAAATCTGTCTTAGTTCACAGCATTGCTGGCCGAGAAAACACCCATGTGTTATCACCTTTCTGTGGATGGTCTGCCTCATTTAGCAACAAACTTAATGACGTACTGATTCAGAGACACATGCTCAATAAAGGCATGCAGAATAAAGTGTTGACATGTGTCATTTACAGAGATTACAAAGATTTATTGATTCATCAATTAAAACTTTTATTCAAACCTTGCAAATCGACAAGATTCTCTCATTCAAAGAAAAAATACTGGATTTAGAAAATTCAAAAAAGGCTATAATCAACGAAATGAACTACACTCTGGGCTCAAGCGGCTGCAGATCATCATTTTAAATTGAAGTATTTATCTTTAGAATGTGTTGGTAAAAAGGTCTTGTTGGGTGCACAAACCCTGAAGGTAAACTTTTTTCAAGTTTAAAATAAACATGCAGGACCTGAAGTGCTACAATGTAAGTATTAGTTTGAGAGGGAAATGGGGTCCAGTCCGGAACAAATGTTAAAGGCTGATGAAACAACCAGTAAAAAAATGTTATATAGTATAAAAATGTTTTTATCACATCTTTGTTAGTATTCTAGAGATCATGGGTAATATATTTGAGAGGAGGGGGATACACTGAGTCTAGAGGTTTGATAGTGGTAACAGCAGCATGCCAATAGATCAATATGATCTAGAACTGAAAGAAAGAGGCCTCAACTATACATTACAATACACTTCAATTGGGCTGTTTTTATGCAAAAACCCACATTTTGTCACAGTTTGTCAAAGAGAAAGTTTGACATTTTCAATATGGTCTTAAAATTATGTTACTATCTACTACATCAAGCCAAATACTTAGATACCAATGCTATGGGACACTTTCAATATAGCTTCCTGTCAGTGTGGAGGAAGGCTGTTATATTCATTATGTCTTGAGACTAACTCATAACTTTGGTTTTGCTGAGTTATGAACTACTTTGAGGTTTCCTAAAGAACACTAATAGAAGGCTGCAATTTGTCAAAAGCCATCTGTATAATGTCTTCTCAACCATAACGAATAGTATCATCTGCATAAAGATAGATATTATATCAAGAAAATGTTATGTAAATGTTGATTTTAAATAAGACGGGGCACTGAACTGATCCTTGTGGAACACCTTTTTTGTAAGCTCCTAACTGAATAGCTCAGGATGTGAAAGACTGAAATCTTTCATAAAGGTTATTCTGAAAAATTGTCAGAAAAATTGTGTCAATCTCAATATCATAGTGTCTTTTATTTTATATTTGTATGTTGCAATTTAGCCCAGGTTTTCTGATGAATGATAACAAACAGTCATTTCGAGTTTGAAAGTCATTTGACAGTTCGTGTGGGATTCTTAGAGCCTTTATCCACACGTTTTGTCGTTTTCTTCTTCTTTGCTTTCTTGGTTTTGGGTTTAACCAGAGGTTGCTTGGCATTAAGAGCAGGCCTGGACCTGGTCAGCTGGTTAGCAGTGGGGCTGAGCTTGCTGTGGCCCATCTCCGGATCGGAGCGTACACCCTGAGCAGAAATGGACTTGCCTGGAGAAGAGCAAGGGGACTCATCCAGTAGGTTTGGCTGGGAAAAGGAGCGCATGGCTGGAGAACTTGTAGGGCGGTAAGGTGTGGTGCCTCCTAACATGGGCAAGTGGATGTGTTCATTGCTCAGATTGGTGACAGAATAACGATTGCTGTTGGACATGACAATGTGGTGCCAAGAGCTGAGTGGCGTGGCAGAGAAGTGCTGTGGGCTGCTTGAATCCTCTTTGGCTACTCCAGGAGACATGACCAAGGAGCCGCGTGGTGTTACGGCCTCCACAGCACTCTGGAAGGTCTTTAGGATGCGGTCACTCTTCTGCTTCTCTTTCTTCTGACGGGACTCAACCTTCCTCAGTTGGCGGCGGTAATCTCTCATCATCTGTTTCCTTGTATCTGCCAGTCCCCTGCACAGAAACATCACAAAACCCAATAAACATCTTGGACTGACTGACTGGAAGGAAGGCGTCACTCGATGTGAAAACCTGGTTGAATTCCCAGGTCATTCCAAAATCAAACATGGTTACACTATACCATTGTTCAAGATATGATCAAATGACTGTAAGAATGCAGCAGCAATACCATAACTCAATGTTTAGCAACAATAAAACTTATCAAATATCAAAGCCTGACTATGAGAACAAATGTAAAAAGCCCTTCTGTGATCATTAACAAACATGAAGAGACATGCTCACCTGTAGTCTACCATCCCTGTCCTGTCACGATCAAGCCTCTGAATCAGCTCCTCAATCTGGTATCGATCCAAAGGAATACTTGATTGCTTCAACGATTATATTTTAAAAAAGGGAAACATGTAAGAGTCACTAACAAGGTTCATTTTTCATAGTTTTTTTTACCTATCCCTTAAAGGATGCTTTTATTTAATCCCTATTGGCTGTATATTGGTCAGAAAAAAAATTGTAAATATTAACAGAGGGAAGCTGAACATGCATGATTTAAAAGGATGTTTAACCCTTCAAATATCATTGACTCTTCAAAGTTCAATAAATCAGCTTGTTTTGGAAACCTGCACTGCCTTCCTGAAGTCAGCAGTAGGGACCCGCATGGTGCCATCTTTGTCAATATTACGGAAGAAATCCCACAGACGGAGCTTACGCTGATCCAAATAATCCTTCAAAATACAATGGGATATAAGACATTTTGACAGTTAGTACCCCTACAATATCAGTGCCATTTACAAAATGCAAAGCTTTCTCTGCTACCACAGTGCTGTTTTACTATCATCAAAACTGACTTGGATGACTTTCATTGGATCGACACGTTTCAGGGGCTTCTTAGCAATGAACCCTCCTACTCCTCCATACTGTACTTCCAGACTGGGATGCTCCTGACATGTCACATCCAGCAGGTGCACAAAGGACTCATTTACCAGCACATTCTGCAGGAGTATAATAAGGTAAACAAATAAAGATAGAAACAACAGCACGCATGTGTTTTTTTATGCCTTATTTCTTCCAAGAAATGTGAGATGTTTAAGCTGTGATCAAACTGTTTGGAAGTATGACAGAGGCTCAGTAACTCACACATATGTTGATCTCCTCCAAGGCAGTTTTAGGTGTGTTCTTCACCACATTAACCAGAGCCAGTGCTCCCTCTACTGTTAGAGAGTTGTAAGCCAGCTACAAAAAAACCAAAGAGTATAACACTGATTCTGCAGCCTTACTGATGATTTAGATTTGATTAACACAATTTGTCCACCCACCAGTAGGACCCTGAGCGTGTCATTGAACTCCAGACCCCTGCACAGCATGCCAACACCCTCGTTGGTGAGCCGGTTGTTGTTGAGATTAAGGTGCACCAGAGTGTTGTTGAATTTTAGGGCCTCTCCCATGGACAGGGCACCCTCATTCCCAAAACCGTTCCATGATAAGTCGAGGTGTTTTAGCATCATGTTGACCTAAATATTAGCATGTGATCAGATTCAGTGATCATACAAGTTACACATTTCTCACTAAGTCTTACCTTGAGTCCAGCACAAAGAGCCACAGCCCCTTTCATTCGGAGGTGGTTCCAGCTCAGATCAAGAAACTCAAGACCCTCATTGTTTGCTGTATATAAAGAAGTAATGTATGACAAGAAGCGCTTTGATATTGTGCCCTCTTATTTTGTCATTTTCCTTGTTTTAAAGAGTAAAGAAATGTATAAAGCTGCATCTTAAAAGACATCAAGATTAGGGGTTTAACCATACCAAGCAGTTGTCCCAAATGTTCCCCTCCTTTTCCACAAAAGGCATTATGGCTCAGGTCAAGTTCCTTTATTCTGGAATTTATCTAAATGCAAATATATCATTAATAAAAGTAAACACAAATAAAACCAAAAATTATTTATTTGGCATTGATAAAAACAAACCACAAAAAATGCTTTTTACAGAAATAATCATACTTACTGACAAGGCGTCTGCAAAATACTTAGCATCATCATCAGTGAATCCGTTTCCTATAGTGGGAACAATTCAATATAAACTTTCAATGTCTTGTTAAATTCATTTGAAAAAGGGTCGAACTTTGACAAGCACCAACTGGTTGGGATTCACTGTCACACACATCAACCATAGGTCAGTACAATGTAAATGCTGTTAATGTGCACATTACCTGAAAGTTTCAATGATTTCAAAGAAATATTGTCAAGCAGCATTTTCCCCACATACTCGGCCCCCACATAAAGCAGTTGGTTATTAGATAAATCCTGAAAGGGAAAAGAAAGATGCTCAAACAGGTTCTATTATACTCCTCTGAAGTCAAACACAATGTCAACTGAAAAGCACTTCTGCCCTCTAGTGATGTGATGACTGAACGACATACCAGGTACTGAATGGTGAAATTAGCCCTAAGCATCTCCACAAGGTATTTGGCTCCCTCGGCTTGAATGTGATTGTCTGCCAGTTCCAGAGTGTTGATATTCATATCAGTCTATAAAGTCACATTATTAGAAACTATGTTGTAAAAATGACACCTGATTATTACACACAAAAACTTATAGAACTTACCACTAAAGCAATAGCGAGTGCCTTGCACCCCAAAGGTCCCAGCCCGTGGTGGCTGAGTGTCATGGTTGAAGAGTTGATGTTTCGTATAAAGTAGGAGACTGGCACCACACCAACCAGCTTACAGGCCTGGAGGTACACCTCACATATCGATGCCTTGTTGTGGCTTTCCTCTTTTTCTGAAAGTGAGTAAACAAATAGTATGAGTATCATTGTGTTGGCCCTTTCTGACAGATAAAGTAATGATAATTGCAGAAACAATTTATCAAATCAAACCATTTACTTGCTGTAAATCAATCAAATAAAATGTTCATTGTTGAACTTTTACAGAGAACTCTCATTAGATACACTTACCATCTGACTCCAAGTCGGTCTCATCCTCAGTGTCCTGGGATTCATTTGGGGATGAACAATCATCCTCTTTTAAGCAGAGGGACTCAAATGACAGTGTTGACATGGCTTTCTCTGCTTTAAGATCCTACTTACAGTTTGAAATCATTTTTTTTTAGACAGAAATGGCGTTCAGTGTTTCTTCCTGTGTTCTTTGTGCTGGCCAGCACTGTGAAATGAAATAGGTCTGTGCTGCCGAGCAGGTAATTCTACCCCTCAGGTAATGTGTTAAGTGTAGTGACATTAATAATTTACTCCACAGTAAAGTTACAACACATATGTTTTCAACTATGGCAGTTGATTGGAAATATATGATTATATAGGCCTATAGGCTACATATAAAGAATACTTATTAGGCTATATTAAATGTGGGTTGAAGGGAAATTTCATGAAATTCGCTGATTTTTTGTGGTGAGGATATCTTTATATATCCAGATGGAAATTAAATTTAAAAAAAGACAATTCACTACACTACAGACTTTTGAAAGAAAAAAAAAAAAAAAAACACCTGACCTCACATCCAATACCCCAGAAATTGCGCATGCGCTGATTTCATTACAGAAGCATGGTTGGCAGTGTGTTATTTTATGTCCTATACCCCTTGTCGAGGTTCCTGACCGGTCGACAGTCAGGTAAAACTATGTAAATGTCTCAAAACTAAGTTTGTATTACACTTGGGTAGCTTTTCGGGAGCTTACAGTTGCTAGCCCTGTGTTTGCTGACTGCGCAGTTTTGTGTTTGCGTTACGCGGCAGGGAAGCGCTTGTGTTTTTAAACTTGTATTTCACTACAGAGGCGATGCGACACATTTCTGGTGGTCTCCCAGTACGATCTTTTATTGATTTATTCTTTTTGCAAACGTGGATACTTATTGCACACTTGTGTTGCAGGTTAGCTAACGTTAGCTCAGTGAAACGTGTGTGTGGAGCACCTGTTCGTTTTTTTTGAGACACCTCTCATGACGTCAGATGTCACCGCATGGCACTGTTCTGCTGTGCGGTTTAGGTATCAAACAGAATGGTTTGGGTTTACCAAGAAACAATTAATTTGTCAAATATGACATATATATTCATTATTTTAGAAAAAAAATAAACGACTCAATCTAAAGAGCTGTGTCTTCACTGCGTAGTTTGGAGTCCCAACTGTCTAAAGTCGCTGATCTTGTTTTACAGAGGCCCCCCAAAAGGGTCACCCTGCAGTGGTTAATGGCAAGGCGGTGTGGGATGGTGGTGCTGTCAAAACCAGGAGGTTCACCCAGACTCAGACATCGCTGCTGGACCAGTGGCTCAGCTCAAGCAGTGGGACGGAGACAGAAAAGAAAGAAAGGATGAAGGAACCAGTCCCAGAAGAGAAATGTGATACCAGGCCGCACACGGACAAAGAAGAACTTATTCCTGTCCTGCAGAATGATGCCACTTCAAAGAACAGTGACGTTCAGCCTGCAGAGAGAAGAAATGGAAAGGTACATGATGACCAAGAGGAAGCTCCAGAGAAAGAGACGAGAAAAATTCCACATGAGTTTGAGGAGTATTACGTCACACAACACACACAGGAGGGGAGTGTTTTTCGAACTGAGGACATAACCCCACAGCAAGATCTTTGTGCACAGTTAGAGTGTCTAAAAATGGAGGAAAGCGCTCCAGAAACGATCTCTTCTGTGCTGGAGAAATTGGAGAAACCAAGCTTGGAAGATCCAGCAACTTCAGCTCAGACGAACATACAAGAAGCGACCTGTCAAACACAGGAACAGACGCAGCTACCGACAGTGACAGAGTTGAAGGCTCCAGATAAAACCCCAGCAGAAATAACTGAGTTCTGGGATGATTATTTACTTCCTGCTGCTGATGAAATGCAAGAGGGGGGAAGCAGTTCTAAGCTGGTATTTGCCTCCCCTCTCTTTAACACTCAAACCCACCTTCAAATCTGCAATGAACATGATACACAAACTGGCTGGCACTTTCCGGCAGGGCTTGGACTAGCAGAAGAAGTGCAGTGTCCACTGTGGCAATTTCCTGCAGTGAGCTATTACCCTCCATTAGAGCCAACAGCACAGTTTGAAGGTGAGAATTACATTTCTCCCTTTACTGGAAGCTTCATTTTGGGCATTTTCACCCTTAAGTTTTCCACTATAATGAAATTTATCTAAACGTAACGCGTTTGTTTTCTACTCAGTAATGTGGAGAGTGTGGGAGGAGGTGGATGAGAGTGCCCCTGCAGAAGGTACTTCCCTAAAACCCCTCCCATTCACAAACGCCTCAATGGAGTTCACTGTTATGTCCTACAACATCCTTGCTCAGGATCTACTTGAGGCCAACGAGGGGCTGTACACACACTGCCCCCTGGAGGTGCTCGACTGGAGCTACCGCTGCAGCCTACTTTTAGAGGAGATACTGAAATGGGCACCAGATGTGAGTCAAGCACTAGCTGGTACAAAATAGACCACACATTTGAGTTAATTAGTATTTACAAATTGCATATTTTCTTGTGTGTCCTCCTGTGTGTAGATTTTGTGTCTTCAAGAGGTTCAGGAGAACCACTACCAGGAACAACTCTTTCCGGTCCTGTCCCAGATGGGTAGGTCTTCTGAGATGATACAGTGGACCAATCATTTCGGAGTGTTTGTCGAAATATTTAACTGTTACGTTTATGTTGTCTCTCCAGGCTACAGCTGTGTGTACAAGAGACGTACAGGAAACAAGACGGACGGCTGTGCTACTTGCTATCGTAGCGGTCGCTTCTCTGAGCTATCAGTCACCCTGCTGGAGTTCCTCAGGCCTGACACAGAGCTGCTGGACCGGCACAATGTGGGCATCGTTTTGTTGCTTCAGCCAGTGGTCACCAAGGGCCCAGAGATCAAGGCAAAGGGTCCACCGCTCTGTGTGGCCAACACCCACCTGATCTTTAACCCAAGGAGGGGCGATGTGAAGCTTGCTCAGTTAGCCATACTGTTGGCAGATATTGACAGTGTGGTTAAGTCATGCAAGGCAAAAGGTGAACACTGTAACCTTATATTATGCGGCGACTTCAACGCCCTCCCCCACACGCCTCTGTATCAGCTGGTTGCCACAGGGGAGCTCTACTTCCAGGGTTTACCAGCATGGATGGTGAGACTAAAACACAGCATAGAGTATAATCAATGAGAAGGAAATGACAGACTTCGCCTACGCTCTGCGGCCTGTTTGTTACATTCTGGTCTTTTGATTCATGTTGTCTGCTGTTCACCTGAATCACCTCAAGAGTCACCTTTATTCTCCAACAGATTTCAGGTCAGGAGGACCTGTCATACAACATCCACTGTCACAGACTGCAAGCTCCGCTGTGGCCCAGCAGTGTAGGAATCACAGACAGCTGCCAGTACTCGACTGTCAAGGAGATACTTGAGAACCAGCATCAAAAACCAGGCGAGCGCTTGAAGTCGTAGAATCCTTTGTACCTACTGTTTTTTATGTGTTAATCTTGATCTGAGGACCAAGGATCAAGTTTCTTTTTATACTTGCCCGATTTCCTCCCTCACTTCCCTTCCTTCCTTTTCATCTTGTGCAGGGAACCGTCAGTTCAGTCATGACTTCCTGCTGCAGCTGCGCTTCTGTCCAGCTGCATGTGTCCGCCCTCTGGACTTGGTACTGATCCCAGGCGTCACTGACAACACACCAGGTACAAATGTGCAATTAAAAAAAAAAACTTGGATACTGTTCGATTTTTGAAGAAGCATCTTTTTTCCTGTGTCGTTTGAAAATCTGTGTCTTGTTTCTTTATTGACCAGATGCTTCAAGGAAAAAAAATCTGCCTTATGATAAAAGGTCAGTTCACCTTTCATACATTCAGAATAAAAAATCCAGGATAAGAAGGGAGTTAAGCAGCAAGTTTAAATATGATAAGCATAACAAGTTAATAAATATAAATAATTCTATATTTGTCTCAGTCAATCTATTTTGCTTGTCACTTATAATTAGTGTTGAATGGGAAAACCACTTTGATATTATATGAAATAGGAAGTTAATGAAAAAATTAAATAGAATTGAGAGGATTTTTTTTTTTTTTCTTAATCAATTTTGTGCCACAGTTTCAGACACACAATCCGTCATCAGTTTGACCTTGAGTCAGTCTACAAACACATTCTCCCAGGCTCTGGCTACCCAGAAATCACGACCCTGCACTCTGAAGGAGCAGCCACTGTCGACTACATCTTCTACACCCAAAGACGGCTGTTAACTCCTGATCAAAACGGTACAAAGACACAACACAACAGACACAGTGTTTCAACTCTTAATACACATGACTTATTTATTTCCTTTTGTCTTTCTCAGTTGGTGGTAACTCGGTGAATGAGGGTCTGCAGCTCATTGGATCTCTCTCTCTCCTATCAGAGGATGTTTTACTGTCAATGAGGGGTCTTCCCAATCACATATTCCCCTCTGACCATCTCAGTCTTCTTGCCAAATTCCAGCTGGAACTGAATGCTTCATGAAGAAAAAAAGAGTCTGACTAAATTTAAAGGATGACAGCATAATGCATATTTTGGTTCAAATGGTTATGCCCTGTTAACATTTAGTTCATTATCTTTTCAGTATGATACTGTTGTGGATTAATCCTAAATCATAGTTTTCTAAGTGAATGTAAGTTTAGAGTGAAAGTAAAGAAAGAGTCTGGTTCCTCATGGTGTTGATGAGAGGAAAGATGCAGCGCTTTAACTGAGATATGACAAATCATTTCAATGATTCTGTAATAGTTAATTTAAAGACAGGTAGAGGTCCTTCAAGACTTATTGGTGTCATAACTCACCTGTTCATTTGGATATGGTTTGTTCTGTTTTAATTTATTTGAACAGTTTTTTGAAAAGGGAATTATTATTTATTTTTTCAGATGGGAAAAATATTGAATAAATATTTTACAACACTCTGGCTCCTTGATTTTACTTTATTTTTTAACTTGAGCACAGAAAGAACATACTGTCCTTGAGAATGTCTTGCTCTGTCCTGCATTTATTATGTATCACTTCTAAATATACAAGATGACTGGCTCTGTGTGTGTATCCGCCTGGTCGACTGCTCAGACTGTGACCTGAATGTTTGCTCTGCCCCTCCCATCCCATGATACTGAAGCACTCATTTTGTCAGGGTGAAGATGTCTGCTTGTATGTGTGTGTGTGTGTCTAGTTGATGCATGAATGAATAATTCATTTAGATAGTTGAGTGTTCATGCATGATAGAGCTCAGTAAGAGAGCTTTGTGTAATGTGTGGGCTATAGAAAATATAGCCGATCGGCATTTGAGGGGAATTCCATACAACCATCCATTAAAAGTTGAAAAATTAAATGAATAATGGAATCAGATCGTCTTTACTCTTGTTTTAGCATTAAATGTATGCAAATTCTAAAGTAGCTCCTTAGAAAGAGGTCATCACTACTGGTTCTATTTCTTACAAGCACAGCAATAAAAGATGTTTGCATCAGAAATTCACCAGAAGAGAGAATAAGGAAGTTTGAAGAGCTCTCTCTTGCCTAGGAGAATTTACACTACCACACCTGTATTCACATGCAGCCCTTTAAGAAGTATGTTATTGACCTACAGATGAAAGTGGTTCCTTGCCTGATGGTGTTCATTGAATGCAGCAGCCATTAAGCCTGATTAGGTGATTAGAGGAGCATCCGTCCTATCGGTTATCCATTTAGCAGGAGGATCCCTGATCAGGAGAACAGCACACATGGTGCCAGCCAATATTCTTATGACTGCAGCAAACACTTGCAGCACCTAAACAGTATGATAGTTGAGAGCAGTGAACAGTTTTTCCACTTTAAATGCAGTGAGGTTTGGAGGATATTGTGAGATCTTGACAGATTTCCCATTGCTATATTTCCTTTGTATTCAGACATTTTCATTGAGGACACAATTCTCCATAAATAACACTTGCTTACAAACTCATGAAGTCTAGTACTCTATGAACTTCTATTAAATTAAAACAAGAAAAGAGAATGAGAATCAGAGTGAGTCTTTATTTTGATCTTGTAAATTAACAGTCTTTTGGTACAAAACAACTGTGTTTTACAGCACTGAAATAAAAGTGGACATCTACAGTACCAAACACATACGAGTGTTTTTTTCTTTGTGTCAATCAATTCCAAACACATTGTGGTAAATATGAAGTGCTCCACTGGTGATCATCAACACTGAATGTAGTATAAAATGGCAGAATCCCATATTTTAAAAAAAATACAAAATGCCGTTAAAAGTGCTGCAAACAAACGTCTTTACTCCTTGAATGGAAGTCGGTTGCTTGGATACCATTTAAGGCAAGAACTATTGGAGAACGTTGCTACAAATGAAATCAGGAAACAACTATTTATAAAGCCGTTTACAGTACATACTGACTGACTTCCATTTCTTTACATCTAAATTAGATGCAGATGAGCCGAGTCAGCTCGATTGCCACAAATCACCTTAACAATTGTCATATAAAAAGGTCAACAGATGCAAAAATTCCATAACCGGTCACCATTTCGATCAGTGATAGCTAGCTAAACACGCTAGCATCTTGATATGACAATTTAAAAAAACGACTCTCGTGAATTCTTTGATTAATTTACAGTATTTAGGAAGTGCAGGGTGTTCAGTTATGTAACGAGAGTAAAGGGTTTTAGATGAAAAAACAAGTCTCTTTGAATTTTCAAACAAGGCACAAGGGTAGTGGTTTGCAAACTAGTCACTACACAAGCAGTTGCTGCCCAGCAGAGCCTAAGTGGACTTCAAATTACATTACATGTATTTGCACACTTACAGTACGACGATACAGATTGCAGACGAGCAGAGCAGTAAGAGCTTTTGTGGAACTAATAACGCCACAGATACCTACGATATGTCCGGTAGCATGATTACACTGGGTGGTGGCCAAGTGTCAGGAAAGAGTCATATTTCTCTTGAACGAGTCGGAAAGACTTACCAAAAAATGTTTACAAAGTACTGCACTTTTTTGTCCCCCTTTCTTTAGAGTTTGGGAACCGAGCCAGCACCAATTATAGTCTGCAGTAAGTGCTCCAGAAAGCCTCAAATAACACAGACGTAGGGACGCTCAATGAGGCATTTGTTTTTAGAGGGGAAGCTGCTGGTGACCTATTCAACAATGCATTCAGTGAACAGGCCAGTTTGTATACATATTTCAGCCTCAGAGTAATTCAGCGGCCCTGTTAGACAAATGTCTGGTACCTTGTTACTTTCCAAACTAAAACTAGAATTCCTTTCAGACTCGAATCTGGTATCCATTCATGTCCGTGGACGGCTTTTGCTCCAGAACCTTCTTCTCTCCGGAGGGACTGCAACAAATCAAACACAAAAAAGATACAAGATAACAAGTTTTAATCACATGAGGAGGAAAATGTGACTACTTCATAAACTCCTTCAGGTCATGAGCGCGACTGTAGACCAACAATTTTCCAGCAACTAAAAATGTTTCACCACAGTGGCAGAGATGTCTTTATTTTTAGCAAAAGAGAAATGTATCTTAAGCACATGATTCCTCATACCGTCTCTCAACGCGGCTGATTCTGCGTATGGGGCTGCTCTGTCCTCGAAGGGGTGAACCCATGCTGTTTCTCCTGTCTTTGGTGGGAGAGGGCGGTGCAGGCTTTCCAATCTGCAAAAACCGATCACAGAAAAGAGCATCTAACCAAAAATGTCCCTTATGGATGAGTCGACTGTGCCCTACGTCCTTGCTGTGCAGTTTTTTTTTTTGCGCAATCGCTGTAAAAGATCAGCTATTGATGGACTGAGGTGGCCATGCATGAAGCACAGCAGCGCAGAGTGAAGCCATCACATTAGTTTTATTACACACAGAGCTCAGCGCCGAGGCTGCCTTCATTATGAGAGCACGAGAGGTGATGAGAGAGTGTCATTTCAGAGGAACGACTCCTCACACAGCAGGTCAACTCAGTGTCACTGAAGAAACATCACGTCAAAGAAATCTAATAAGCTTTAAGGAGGGGCGGCTAAGACTAATTATATTTATCATCATTGTTTTTCAACCTGCAATATCTGTCAGCATGCAAAACGAAGCTTAAACGTGAGAATAGAAAAATGTAATGTGACACAAAAGCTGAACCTGTCTGAGCTGTACCTTCAGCCTCATGTCTCGAGTGTGTCTCTCCAGCTCCTTCCGCAGCTCCTCCTTGGTCAGCTTGTCCACGTCGAGTATCGAGTGCTTCCAATCTATCTGCTCCACGCTGTGAGGGTCGTGGGACACGTACTGGCCGATCCTGACCTTACGCAGAGTGTGCCAGTAGCCCCTGTAGGCTCCTTCGAACTCCTGCACCAAGTCCATGAGTGTCTTAAACTCCAGGGGCTTGAACATGAGGTCCTCCCTGCGGCTGATGCCCAGTGCGCCGAAGCGCCCGCCGCTGTGGACCCCCAGCACGATGTGGTGGAAGTGGTTCCCTGAGAAGTGAGACTGAAAGCTGAGGGGGAAGCGCTCCACTCCGGGCATGTTGTTGGTGAGGTAACTGTGCAGGTGTTGGTCAAGAAACTGAAACTACAATCTGTGACTATAAAGGCACTTTAGCAACGTTCGGAAAGACAATGAATGTCTGCCAAAAAAAACAAAAAAAAACACAACTTTATTAGCAAACTAAATCAGGAGCATGCACATGTAAAAGTAGTGAGATCAAAAATAAAACATTGCAAATTTCAAATATCATAGCTAGAGTTGTTCTGTTACCTGTATTGGTATTTACCGTATTTACTGCCTTAAACTAATTAGCTCCACATAATCAATTTGTTGTAGGTAAATTATGTTGTGACAGTTGTTAAGTGTAGGTACTGGAATAAACACATAAAAACATCTGTAATCATAGCAGACAAGATGTCATTTAAAATGATCCTGCTGTTGTAAAGATACATCCCCAGGATCACCGCCTCCAGGCATTTGATTGGCAGAGCCTCCCGTGTCATCTCTTTAGCAATGTCCATCAACCTGTGCAGAGAAGAATGAGACAATAACACTTTTACTGCCTGAATTAAAAAAAAATTAAAAAAACAGTTATTAATTTCATGCAGCCAAAACATTTTACATGAGCATTGGAAATTAGTTCTGCTAAATCGAATTGAGCTAGCTCTGGAAAAGTGTGTCCAGGCCTCTGCTGCTTGCTGTTAGGGTCTTCTGACAAGCCTCTGGGCTGAGCCAGTGATGCATCTGCTCCACCAGGCTTTAGCAGCACAGGCTAAAACTATTACAGATGAACACACACACAATCTCTGACATCCTGTGACTTACAACCTATAAGTGTATCATTAGTGATCAGAAAAAGAAAATGTGCTTACGCAGTAAGAGGTCTGCTCTTCTTGATTTCAAAAAACTGTGTCCCTGTGTGATTGTACCTGCAGGTAACAGTTCAGGTCATAAGCTGAGAGAACGTGAGGCTGCTTTGAGAGAAAACTTTGCAAAAAAAGCATGCAGGGAAGACGACACAATCACTCAGAGTGCTTTGTGATATTCATAGGGTTGTTGGTTAATTATGGATGAATTTCTGCTCCGACTGGAAATCAAGCTTAATATAGAATATCGAGACAGTGGCCTACTTTCTCATGTTTGGCCCATATCTATCAAAGTGTGTCAAAACACTGGGTCAGTAGGATTAATCAAAGAACATTGAAAGCATTATTTTCATTTTTCATCCCTTTCAGTGAGATTAGTGCTTAAAATATATCTTAAACAGTCATACCAGTTTTATCAACAAAAAACAAAACAGTCAGACTTTGTCAAAGGATACTGCAATTCCCTGATGTATTTCTGTATGGCTTCGAGTCGCTGTGGGACAGTGGTGGTAGGTTGGTACGTAGGCACACTTGGTATTGGAATCTGTGGGAGAGAGCGTCCAAACAGCTGCATTAAACAATCCCATTATTCACTGCAGCTGGAGAACGTAGTCTTGTGTTTTCAAGAATGGCGAGTGTAACTTAAATACTCTTTAAACGCTCTTACTGGGAATGAATAAAAGTTCCTTTCCTTGCAACATGTAAACAATAAAATATGCATGTCAAATTGACGAAACGGTGTTTACTGCAGAAGAAAAACAACAAGCGTATTTAGTGGCTTTCCATCAGCCATGTGCAGCTGCATAGTAACACTGTGACACACATCCCACAACACATGGGTGTTAATTGTGGTCTCAGCTGTGTGTGAAGTTCACCAGAGGAGAGTTCAAATCAGATGCAGATTTTGCATTTTTTTTTTACCTTGGGAAGGTCAGTGGCAGCCCGGATCTCTTTCCCCAAAGCCTCCCCACCAGGATGTATACGAGCCACATGGCGCCACATCCTCTCCCAGGTCTCCTCATCCACTGGGAGGCCGCCTCTGTTGACGTAGAACAGCACCCCTCCATCCCTCCACTCTTCTTCACCTTCATCCTCCTGCTCCTCGTCTCTCTCCTGCACACAGCCGACAGTGGCCCTCAGCATCCCTCCTTCTCCGTCTTCGTCCAACACAAGAGTCCGGGGCCACAAACGTCCTGCCTTTCTGATGCCTTGGACCTCTCACTGGTTAATCTGCTCGCAGGTTTAAGCAGGATCTCATAACAGATGGCCACCTCATGTCACCGAGCAGCTTGCTGTGCCAGCAAATGTCTCAAAGACAAAAGTCAGAGCTGTGCTGTGATCAATATGAAGGCGATCTGCTGTATGAAGCTGCTGGTGATGCACCAATGATTTCAGAAATAACAATAAAAATGTTTTTTTTCAAATAATTGGTTTGCTGAAACTATTCAGCACTTTGGTACGATTTAGCAGACAATTTAACAATCAGACATTAATGTGAATGAATAAATGGAGATACTACGGTGAGATATGAAGGCTAGCTAATGGTTACGGTGAAAGTTCATTAAAAAGCACAGACACAAGTACGCCAATGTAATGCTATCAATCCGTAAGAGGATTGGCACTCAAGACAACAAAGTATTACAAATGACTAATTCCCTTGCACCGTTAGAGGTCATTCACACCCCACAAATCCCGAAAAAAAAAAAAAATCTCTGCTGGGGTAGATTTCCATCACCTCGACACTCCTCAAATGTTCCATTCATGTCCGTTTCAAATCGTTTCCTCCCGAGTCAACCGGTTCATTGTTCATGCAGATGCTGCTGCTGGGTTCGGTTACTGCGGGTTGAGCTTCACGTCCAACGAGCTGCTCAGACACTCCCAGCCCGACGCCGACTGCGCATGCGTGCTACTTAGCGGATGATCTCAGCAGCGACATATGCTGCCTTCAGGTGCTCCAAGAAAAGGTGTCAATCCGCCTCTTACTAATCCATATTAACACGCTTTTTGGTCATTAACAATTCGTAAACTCGTATTTTTCAGTACAATTTCATATTATTAACTTGTCTAATTATACAGTTTCATTGTGGAGGAACAATTAACATATTTATTCAGAGATTGATTCAATGAAAGAAAAAAACTACTAGGCTCTGAAAGACATCCTGGGGTGTTTGATTTAGAGATTAATTTGTCATTTGTTTTTGAAGGTAAAATAGTGTAACATTTACATTAACCTGTTTGCTTTTATGTTTTTCAATACGTGGCGTTGTAGGGAAAATATGATGGAAAATAGACCGAACAGTTATTGGGTCAAGACCCCCAGGACTCCAAAGATGACATGAATTAAAACAACAATCCATTTATTCTTGTCACAAAATGTTTTAATGGAATATGAAAACTTAAAGTTATTTTCAGTTTGCTCAAACACAGCCCACCAAGCCAAATCAAAACCTCACACCATCTTTGAATTACATAAAAGGAAAAGTGATATTCAACAAGAAACCTCCGTCTATTTACAGCTCTGTCCCAGTTGTAGGAATATTAAAACCTTGGTGCACCATAGTCATCAGGCATCCGCTCAATATTGTATCTGAAAAAGAAAAGAAACATCCGTTAAGCAATGTTTTTGACACTGACAAGTCTTTACTGACTCCACTATAAAATCTCAGATTATACTTAAAAAAAGACAAATATCTGACATATGTTTATGCTAAATTCTTTAAAGTGTTACCTGTGGTTTGAGATGTACATGATGGGGACCCCGGGGATCTTCCTGACCCTTCTCTTCAGATCTCTGTCCACAGTAGCAAGGATATAACACTTGTGCTGTGAAAAAAAATGATGCATTATATTCAGCTGCAGAACAAATCAAGAGTGCTGCAATATAAATACAATATAGTGCATATCAATACAGGTACACCTCATCCTACTAAAGCTCAAGTAAAACTAAATTTGACAAGTCACATTAAGTGAACCAGTTAGCCAGCATACACTATTCAAGAAGCTGGAATGCAGTTGTTTTAATTGTTAACACATTCACCCAAGATTAGATGTCTGACCATGCTATATACCACTGAACATACTGGTTTGGTTTGGGTACAGGGGGCCTCTGAGTAGAGAACGCAAATGAGAAGAGGGCTGAGTCTTCTGTCATGGTGACTGTTTCTGGATTAATAGCACAACTAAATGTATGAGGCTGTTTTTGCAATACAAACGCAGCAGAAGAAAACAACACAGTCAGCAGTAAAGAGTACAATTATTTGAAAATTTGCTCAACATGAAAAACGTTAATCGAACCAACCACTTCCGTCTTGTAAATGTTTCAAGCTATTACTTGCCTGGTTCCTAAGATCACCTCTAATTTGTGCTAATTTGTCCTTTTTTTACTTTTAGAGGTTTAGGAAGTAATAACAGACATTACCTGTGTCACTCTTTGCACTAAACAGTCATCAGCATATGTTCCCTTGTGGGTGCACGGTAGGCGCTCAAACCTCGGATCTTTGGCTATCCTGCAATACAAACAAATAGTAGAAGCCATTAAAAAGACAAAACAAGAGAAGTGGTTATCTCAAACGCTGTCAGGGACAAGAGTCGTTTTATATTCAGAAGATCGTACCTAAGTGCAACTCTGTACTTCATTCCAAGCTTTTCAATCTCAGCCATCACACAGTCTGTGATATGTGGGATACCTACAGTGAAATCATTTGCAAAAAAAAAAAAAACAAACAGCATGGTTATTTAAAAAAACAAAACAACATTCTGAACCATTTTCTACAAAAAGTACATAGAAAGACCCTTTGCAACAGTACTTACATTTGGCATACAGGCAATCCATCATAGACTGCACAATATCCAGTTTGGCCTTGATGGAGAAGTTTATGAAATTGGTGTCGACTAGAATGTGGTATGGTGGACCAAGCTGTGTATTGTACTGGAAGAAGAGGCATGACGGATGCTTTTGCCTGCCCAAAAAAGTTAGAAGAAGTCAGGTTAAAGAGCTCCCCTAAAAGCAAACATCTAACTTAAGCTTAAGTGAGGCCAACTTACACTTCTCTTTCCTTCAGTGCAGATGGATCTTTCTTCTTTTTCTCTTTTGCTTTAGAACGATCCTTCTCCTTTCTACAAAAAAAAAAAAAGGTGAATCGTAGTGCCGCACACAACAATTAAAAGCTTTGTTGAAAGATGGATTAAATACAGGGAACTGTTTTGTGAATCATTTTCTTGAACAAATGGGGACTTTGGCGAGAAAACATGAACATTTGAAAACTCACAATCTATTGTCTTTCAGATTAATCATTCTCTTCATCGCAGCAAACTTCTTTGTTTTTGCTTTCGCCTAGAAGTAAAAAAAAAAAAGGGGTTACATCCATCAGTATCAGTAGTTTTTAAAGTGTACACAGAATTTAAGCATCACAAAGTGAAATGTCAACAGTCTTCACATCGTAACGTTTCATCAAAAGGGAAAACAAAACAGATATTTGATTTAATTGTTGAGGCTTTTAGATCAGTAGAGTAACTATCAGGTACAATGAATACAGAACAAAAACACTAAATTGATTATCTTAGCATTACATTCATAGTCAGAATTTAACATGAGACAGTTGCCGATTGAATTTCGTAAATCTTGTGGCCACCGTATTGACATTGATGATTTTAAATTAGGCTATAGCACAAGATATTATCACGAAAAGCTGCGTGTGTACGTGTGGACATGGACAGGGCAGCATTAGCTAACTTAGCCCAGGAAACAGAAACATCGCCGAACTACGATAGTACAACACTTCAGCGGACAACAGTTAGCAAGACAGTCGTAGTATTTATAAAACATTAAGAGGTTACAAACCATGGTTCGACGTGAAAACGCAGACGAGTGAAAAGTATCCCCCCCACCTTCCCCTCGTGTGTGTCGCTGCGTCTACTTGTGACGTAATCAACAATCGACACCTATCTGCGCTTCTTCTTCTTCTTCTTCTTCTCCTTCCGTTTGCTAAGCTAATGCCTCACCGACGAAGGTAGATGCGGTGCAGCCATCAAGTGAGATTATTGCAATTTTGTGCATGTTTTTTTTTGCTTTGAGTAACTGTGCTAATGGAAGTGGTCTCTCATGACCATGTTGCTGTGTGTTCTTTGACAGCCGGGTTGTGTGAAGAGTGGAGTAAATACGCTGATATAGATGGCTAACTTGGCTAACTGTTGTTAAGCCCCCATCATTACGCTGCGCTCCTGCTGTCAAGAGAGATTTGATGATATTGCAGTTGTTCTTCTGTCTGTGTTCATTGTATTTCGAGTAGCATTCCGGGTAAACTGGACTACAGTCAGATGTTTTGGGTTCGCTAGTTATCCGGCTGTCGTGTAGTTTGTATCGGGCAGCGGATGGAGGCTGGATAACGGGGTTAACACTTTCTGCAGGTTTCATCATTTTTTCCCCGTAAATTCACCTTCATTTGTTCTGTTGTTGTTTGTGATTCAGAGTGTAATTGACTTGAGTTCTTTGACTTTGATAGTATGGTTTGTCTTGTGTCCATTCTTTAGTGAAGTTCTTGCATGCATTATTTAGTGTTTGTGGATTATATTTCATGCTATTCTCCCATCAGGCAACACTTGTCTAAACTGACTCTTGGATTATTCACGCTTTCTTTTTTTTTTGGAAGAGCAATTTATTCTGAAGCTTTGGGGTTTAATATTTGTTTTTTGTTTTTTTATGTCATATTTTTATGCTTAAGCGTTGGTTTTGTTTTGTAGGAGACCTGACTAGCCACCTGTCAAGTGGCAGTTTTCCTTTTTTTTGAGAGCACAAAAGGGGGGGGGGGGGTCTCAGTGAAGGCTGAAAGATGGTCTGATGGACCGCCGCTTCTTCCTGACCTTCCTCTTCTGCTCCGTGTCGTGGATCTTCTTCTGGGAAGTGCGCTGGAAGAAAGGCAAAGAAAGTCAGATTGAGGAATGGCTCCAAGGACATAGCCTCGCTCAATACAGACACTTATTTGAAGGTCAGTGGGTTTACATTTAAATTCCATTTGTTGACTTCTACAACAACAACAACAACAACAAAGAGTGTTTGTTAATCAGCTCATCCGGGGTAATGAAAGGCAGTGACCTGACTTTTTTGAATAAAGGTGCTTCTGTCAAAACACATCTTTATAGGGTTCCATTAAGGACAGGACAGTTAATCCAACCATGATGTTTTTTTATTTTAGAGCACCATGCAGAGATGTTGCAGGAATATTTAGGATCAGTTTAATATTTGGAATTGAACTATGTTTAATGCAAGGAGATGTTGTTTCTAGTAACTTTGACCCTGGTATTTTTTTGGGGTGGGGTATAGGGGTGGGGGCACTGAATATTCAATACTCTAATGGGTATTTAAGTCTGTTCCCGGGCATTACTGATGCTGATTTGTTGACTGGTCTGTGATTGAGGTTTTCATGTGCTTTTTTTTTTTTTTGTGTCATCCAGATGTACAGACACTGGAGGAGCTGAGCCTAAGTGTACTAAGTCGCCTGGAAGAGGTGGTGAAGGAACAGCAGTACTGGAGGGAGATTGCGGACGCCCACATCCAGCTGCTCCGAGACTTTGCCTTCCAGGAGTGGCTCTGTTCCCAGAACCTGGAGCACTATTATCAAACGTAAGTAATAAAAACATCCAAGCCTCAACATTTATCTCAATGTTGGCGAACAGTTGTGAGCAGTTTTCCCCCTTGGGGAATGGTTACCTTGTTATAAATGTTTATTTTTCTTCGTATAGGTTAATGTTTTTTTGTAAATTGGTAATGTGGTTGTAGTGGGGTTATGCTGTTTAATACTGTGTACGTTCGTGTCTGTCCACTTGAGGGCAGTCTCTCCTTTCATGGCTAGCTGAGTTTGCTGACACTAAGCTGTGGAGGCTGCAGTGTTTCAGAGGGTCACTGCAGTAGAAGTATTCTTACACTGTTCATGTGAGACCCTGCAGCAATGCAGATGTTTGTGTCTGTGTTTAGTGCTCTCTGTTGATGTCATCAGACCATTAATATGATCAGTAAGTAGTTGCTTGCATCTAAATGATGCCGGTCCATCCTGTCTTAGTTTACAAAGAAAAGTCAGCTTTATTGTTTCTAATGGTCAGCAGTTTTTGTCAGACATGTAATCATGTCATGGTCATCGTGTTATAAAGGGGACAAACAGACATTTTTTTATGGGACAATGTGACATTTTGAAGGTCAAAAAAGCCCGGGGGTTAAAAAAAAGAACTTAAAGCCTTTACCACTCACACGGTTTAAGATTCAGTTCAGTGATTGGCTGTGTAATTAGAAACAAAAGAGGACCTATGCTCAGATTTCTCGGGTAAGAATGTTAAACTGAAATTTGATGTTAAAGAGCAACCTAAGCCTCTCATCACTTCTCAGATAATTAGTCACACAAGAATACAGAAAGAGTAAAATAAATTGAGTTTACTAAAGGTTAAAGTTTTGAATCCAGCGGCATCACTGTGACTGATCTCAAACACAAGATGGATAATTATCATCACCACACACTGTAAAATCAGTGCAGGAACAGAATGACAGTAAATTTCCATTTTCACGCTTGTCTATTACAAGTTAGTCATGTTAGGGAGCTTTGTTGGAAATGGTGTCATTTCTGTATGCATGAAAAAAAAGTCCCATGATTATTTTTTTCTGAGCCTAGTTCCTAGTGGCACATTTTAAAAGAAAAAAATTGCCTTTGTAGTACCCAAAGAGGTTCATAAAAACTTCTGTTTGTTTAGCATATTGGACAACTAGTTGTACGCAGAAAAGTCAGCAGTCTTGCCCAATAGATGTGGCGTAACATTGAGCAGTTGTGGTAGGGTTTCTTTCTTAAGCGTCCAACCTTTTTAAATGATTCATCTATTCTTCCGTTTCTCTTATCTACTTCATTCTACTTTTACTTTTGTTTCTCCTACAGGCTAAAGACATTGGGTTGTTTGAATCTGGATGACCTGTCTCAGTTAGACAGTCAGCTGCAGCTGTCTCTAGCTGCCTGGGGCTACTACTACGAAGACTACATCAAGCTGTCCACAGGCATCAAGATCCTCCAGACGTCCAGGGGGAATAGGGACCAGGACTACGAGATCCGGCTGGTACACAGTCTTGCTGAGAGGCGTCTGAATGAAAAGTGGTCACTTGGTGAGATCCTGGTCATTTTTCCGCCTCTTGTTTTCCCGCAGCTGTAGAGTGTCAAAACAATGTTTTTAAATAGAGCATCGAGCTGTAAGATGTAAACACACGCTGGATTGCACTGTTGCTAAGTGTTGTCAAGTGTTTTCACAAATGGTGTTACAACAAGAGTCCCAACATTCTAATGGAGAAGTTCAGTGTTGCTTCATCTTTATGACATCAGCATGCGTTTGTTTTTGTCCTCTCTTCTCTCATAACAACACAGCAGCCACTTTTATTGTGGGTAGATGTGACTCATTATTAAATGAGTAAAATGTTGTCAGGTTTTAGCATTCCTGTTGCAAAACCTCGACCCTTGTTACACTGGTATTCTTGCCGTTCAAAGCGCCACATTGGCCACTAATAACATCATATTTTTGGCTCTGTGTGAAGTACAATGTCGTCCTGCCTCAGTCCTGTCCAACCTGATGTTTAAAAAAATCATAAAAGAATGACTTGATGATCTTTAAAAAATAAAGTCATAAAAAAGTAACCATCAGGTTCAGATTAGGCGCTGTGTTTGTCTTCTTTGTAATTGTTCCTGGTTATAATGTGCCCTCTTCCTTTCAGCTGGAGCTCTTATATTTGGCTGTACTGTGGCGCTGTGCTTCTTGATAAGGGACCTCATGTTTTACGTGATTGGTGAGTTCAATGTTTGGATTTACTAATAAGTGACTCAGTCTTAATCTCTCTCTCTCTCTCTGCATACATAAACATTGAACCATGTTGCAGTACTTTGTCACACTGTAATCTTTACTCTATTTGGTTTCAGGTTAACTCACCACTAAAACAAACACACGACGTACGATTCAACAGCTTGTCTCCCTGTGCTCCTTGTCGTCTTTTGCAGGTGGAATTACTGTTTCCATCATAGCATTTGTCTTCACCATCAAGTTCCTCTGTGAGCTTGCAGCGAGAGTTGTCAGCTTCCTGCAGAATGAGGATCCAGGGCGACGCGGTGACCGCAGCATCTATGACTACGTCAGGGGGAACTACCTGGACCCTCGCTCCTGCAAGGTGTCCTGGGATTGGAAGGAACCGCAGGAAGTGGGGCAGACTATGAGCTTCAGGGTTCAGGTGATAACTAATTCCTTATGTGTGTGCCTAAGCTATAGATGTGGGATGTAGTTTTTCCGGGTAAGTGCTGAATTCCTGATTTTTCATATATAAGATGTGACTTCAAATCATTGATTTCCAAATGGTGGGGGGGGGGGTGCATATGCTGTTTAGTGTTATGAAATTGAAAGTAAACTTGTATGTTCTCAATATTAAATGACTCTCTGTTCTCTCTTGTGTCCTCAGCTGTTCTATAAGAATGGACAGCCTTTCCCAGCCCATCGGCCTGTAGGACTGCGGGTCAACATCACCCACATTGAGCTGGCCTTGGACATTCCTGTCACACAGGAGGTTTTACAAGAGCCTGAGTCAAATGTTGTCAAAGTGGCCTTCACAGTGCGCAAGGCCGGACGATACGAGGTCGCTGTCAAGCTGGGTGGCCTCAATGTGGCCTACAGCCCTTACTACAAGATATTTCAGCCAGGTATTACTACTGTCTGTTTTCTGTTCAACCCGAAATTTGATCTGTCAATGTTTCTATTACTGATTGAGTATTTGTCTGTTCTCTATTCTCCACTTCAGGCACAGTTGTTCCATCCAAAACCAAGATAGCCTACCATTTCTCCACGCTGGTGCTAACAAACTGCCAACAGCACACTTTGCAGATTGAGCCACGGGACGAGTACGGAAACCCCACCAGCAACTCCACATCTCTCACAGATGAAACTAACTACAGTGTCCATGTGCACTCTGTAAGGCAACAAACCTCTTTTTCTCAAACGCATTCAACTTTATTTTGAAGAGTTCTCTCTTGACTGTTACGAAAACAAAGACAGTATATTGTTTTTAATTGCATAGTTGTGGGCCTTTACTGATTTGTTATTCTATCCATGTATTTCCAAAATCCTGAGCTTGGAGTCATTTGATTGTTCCTGTTCTTCCAGCTGGGCACAGTGGATGATGACAGTCTGGAGGAGTACTGCAGTAAGTCGGTTACTCTTAACAAGCAGCAGTGCCAGGTTCTGCTGAGACTGACCCTGAGGAAGACGGGCTGTTTTAGGGCCTGCATCTCCTACAAGGACCAGCCGCTCAGCAACGGGGAATTTGACATTATTGTTCTCAGTGGTGAGCTGCTAAGAAAACTGCCATTATAGAAACTGAGCCCAGACATACAGTGATACTTTTAAAGCCTCATATTTGTATTTTGACTGTGTTTTGTAGAGAATGAGAAGGCCTGTGTGGAGAAGAATGTGTCCACTCCAGGCATAAGTATCTACTTTGAGGCGTATCTGTACAGCAGTGGGAACTACAGCAGCTCCTCCTGGCAGTTACCAGCCTCCTCTCTGCTAGCTCCTCAGAGGAGGCCCTCTATGGGAGAGGAGGAGGACGAGCATGATTCTCCTGTGGAGGGACAACCTGAGAAGGTTAAGAAGCCAAAAAAGGTCTACTGTTACATTTCGCCAAAGGTAAGAGTAGGTTAGGTTTAATCATTCTTTTTCTGCAACTTTTGGATTTGTGAGCATGAGAAATGAAGAGATCTGGGTGCGCCGGTAGCCTATCGGTTAGAGCACGCGCCCCATGTTCGGAGGATGTGGTCCTCTAGGTGGACAGCCTGGGTTCAAATCCAACCTGTGGCTCCTTTTCTGCATGGCATTTCCCACTTTCTCTCTCCCCGATTTCTGACTATCCACTGTCCTATCCCTCAAATAATCATAAAAAGCTAAAAAGTAAACCTTTAACAAAAATTCAGAAGGCAGAATGCAAAGGGCATAAATGTAAGATGACACCCACTCTGACTTTTATTTCAAACAGCAATTATCTGTGAAGGAGTTCTACCTGAAAATTATTCCATGGCGCCTTTTCACCTTTCGAGTGTGTCCAGGAACGAAGGTAAACAGAACAGATTTTAGATCAACCCTGAAGCACAGGCCTCTCTTATTCTGTTTGATAAGCTAATGGAAAACTTCTACTTTATTTTAGTTTACTTATTATGGTCCTGACCCAGTTCACAAGTACCTAACGCTAGTGGTGGATGATGGGATTCAACCTCCAGTGGAGCTCAGCTGCAAAGACCGAAACATCATGGCTGCCACATTCATTCGCTTCCTGCACAAAAACATTGGTCTGTTTTCGCCTAATTTAATTGCTTTATCCTCAAGCTGTACTTAATGAATGATGTCTTTTATTAAGACGGAGACAGTAATTTCATGGTTTTGTCCTTAGGTGGCTCAGAAATGTTCCAAGATAAGGTGAACTTCTTTCAACGTGAACTCAGGCAAATCCACTCCAAGAGACCTCGCACCAAGACCTGCCTAAAAATAACCCGACACTCCATCCTCGATTCTGTGAGTGCTGCTTTCCTTATTAAAAAGTCTATTTCATAAGTTATTTTTTAAAACATAATTGGCATGTGATTTCATCATTAGTCAGTCATGTGGCTCAGTTTTAATCAGAGTCTCCCTTTTACTGCTGCTTAGTCACTGAAGGCCACAAGGAACTTCTCTGTGTCAGACTGGAGCAAGAACTTCGAGGTCGTGTTTCAGGATGAAGAAGGTAAACAGAGGCTGTGTCTGTAATCACCCCGAACTGACTATATAGATTCATCCCAGAAGGGCTATTCAGTTTCCCAGCCTCCCAAAGTCATTAAAACATCAAGGGTAAGGTTACCCTAACCCAACCCAAAGTCAAGATAATCATAAGGAAACAAACTCAGTCACAGCAGCTTTCTGACAACTCACATGTGACAAACAACAGATCAGCAGACAAACAGGAATAATACTTTAAAGCAGTAGTTCTCAACTGGTCTAGCCTCAGGACCCACCACCAAATCCCTCATGAAAAATCAAGAACCGAATTTCAGATATTTTTTAACCAATCAGATTAGTTCAATGAAAAATGGTGCCATGTGGACATCAGAGGGTACAAAAAGAGACAGAACAAAGACAAAAAATTAAATTAAATTAAAAGCGCTTAATAAACTTTTTGACACAATAGTTTTTCCAGGCACATATCCGCGACCCACTGAAAATGGCTCCGCGACGCACTTTTGGGTCTCGACCCACCAGTTGAGAAACACTGCTTTAAAGTACACTATAAAGTACTAAAACAAACACTGTAGTGTTTTGTGTAACACTTTAAAGTACACTATAAAGTACGTATAGTTCTTTATTGTACACTATATCTATCAATCAATCAAACTTTATTTGTATAGCACTTTTCATACAACAAATGTATCCCAAAGTGCTTTACAGCAACATAAATCAAACAGCAACAACATGACTCCCTCCCCCACCCCTATCCCACAATCCAAAAACTAAGGTAAGAATAACTAGATAAGAACAGGCACTGAGGAAACGCTATCATTTATTCTAAATGAGGAAACACAGGAGGTTCAAAATGTAATAAAACTAGATGAAATGAGGTTCAGTTAAAAGCTCTACTAAAAAGGTAGGTCTTGAGTATACCCTTTAAAGGGTATTGGCCAATTTGTGGTGCTATCTGAATGACATGTGGAAATTATTGTACCCTAAATAATGGTCCCACAATGCATTGTGAAAAGCCGTGTATAACTGATGGTCACTTACCAAGTAATATATACCATCATGCATTGTGTTGTAAAATCAAACCAGACAGACGTCTGTATGTACAAAACAAATAAATCAGTCTTATTGTGAAAATATGGTTTGTTTAATTAATTGAAAATACTGCATTTTATTATATTTAGTTATTTGTGATGATACTCTTAGTATAATTTTAGTTATCTTTATTTGTTAATGCTTTCTGGCTGGCACTGAGCTGCACATTTTATTGTGTGGCGGCAATGACGTCTTTATTGGCGTCCGGCGACATGGGTAATAGTGTACACAGTGTTTTTAATGAGCTCACTATATAGTCCTCTAAAGAGAACTCTAGTTAGGGAGTAAGGAGGGGAATGACTGAGAATGTGATTCTTGACTCAGCCGAACATGTCATTTTACGATGCCCTTTTAGTTCATGAAATGATGTCTTGATAGAAGTGACTAACAAAGTACCACACAGCTAAACACTTGTGACGTTTCCCTGCAGCTCTGGACTGGGGAGGGCCTCGCAGGGAGTGGTTCGAGCTAATTTGTAAGACCCTCTTTGACACCTCCAACCAGTTCTTCACCCGCTTCAGTGACAACAACCAGGGCCTCGTAAGTTCAACATTCTAAGTGCGTTAAAAGCCACTCACTGATGCGCAGTTCTGTACATGAAAGGCCTTATTGTCATTTCCCAGGTGCACCCAAACGCTGAGCGGCCGTCACACCTGCGTCTAAAGATGTACGAGTTTGCCGGTCGCATAGTGGGGAAGTGCCTGTATGAGTCTGCTCTGGGTGGGGCCTACAAACAGCTGGTCCGAGCTCGCTTTACACGTTCCTTCTTGGCCCAGATCATTGGCCTCAGGATGAACTATAAGGTAAGGAACACAGTACACTCCCATAGAAAATATGTTTTGTTCAGATGGCGTAACGTCGTGTTTTCATTGTTTACCTTCTGCTGTCAGCCGGTCCCTCTCATCACTCTTAACATTCCTCACAAAGCCAAGAAAGCTGAATCGTTTCTTGGCCTTATTTAGGTCATGGAGACCCAGCCAGCATGTTTTGCTGTTTATCCAACTTCCTTAGGTTTCAAAGCTGCGAGCTAAAGCCGACCTCCGGATCATCTTTCTATCCTACACAGAGAAGATGAAGTGCCGTGTTTATTTTAAAAAACGTCATTTTTCCTGTGTTTGCCGCTAACTTTCCACACGCAGTATTTCGAGACGGATGACCAGGAGTTCTACAAAACTAAAGTGTGCTTCATCCTAAACAATGACGTGAGTGAAATGGACCTGGTGTTTGCAGAGGAGAAGTACAGCAAGTCGGGACAGCTGGAGAAGGTGAGGCAACACTTTTTGGAAGAGAGCGTCCGCTTTCATCACGTCATTTCAGGCCAGATAGGAGCAATAATCCAAACAAGAGAAACCATATTGCTTGTTTGGCGAGCACGTCGTCGTCCTTTACGAGGGGGGAGCATTGTGTGTACACGATTCTGGATCAATAACGTTTGGCATCAATGGTCCTTTTGAAACATTGTTGCTCATTTATTAAATACCATACAACAAGTTTAACTCCACATGTTGAAACAGAGTCAAAGCTACTTCTCTTTAATTAGACACGCATGTATTCCTCTAAATACGTTTTTTTTTTTTTACTCTAAGATTAATTGCCGAAACTTTTGCACTAATGCTTACGAGTGTGTGACGGCCAAACACATGTGTTAAACCTGTATAAATAAATGTAACGGGTCGGGAAAGGTCCGGACTCTTACACAGTCTTATCCTGCCTCTTCATCTTCCCTTTGTTGGAAGCAGGATTTGAAACAGTTTTAATGTCCTGTGTTGTTGATTGTTTTATATAATTTGTGTGACATTTATATCCTGCAACATGCTCGCTTGCAGGTGGTGGAGCTGATATCAGGGGGAGCTCAGATAGCTGTTACCAATGAAAACAAGATGCATTATCTCAACCTGCTGGCCCAGTACAGACTGGCGAGCCAGGTGAGGGATGAGGTGGAACACTTCCTGAAAGGTGAGGGAACTTGCACAGCTGCGTTCTAACCCTCTTTTTTTTGTGCCAGCACCCTGTGTGTAATAAATGTTGTTCCCTGATCAATTGCAGGTTTGAATGAGCTCGTTCCAGAAAACCTGCTAGCCATATTTGATGAGAACGAGCTGGAGGTATGTGGCATGTTTATAATATAATCCTGTTGATCCTTAAAAAGAACACTGGGTAATTGTTTTCTTACCCTTTTCTTTTAAATTCCTTCAGCTGTTGATGTGTGGCACCGGGGATATAAATGTTCAGGACTTTAAGGCCCATGCGGTGATAGTCGGAGGGTCGTGGCACTTCAGAGAGAAGGTATGTCATTTCTCTGCGTCACTTTTCTTCCGACAGACGGACACTGAAGCAAACATCTGAGTATGTTTATTTTCTTTTGCTACAGGTGATGAAGTGGTTCTGGGCTGTGGTGTCGAGCTTCACTCAGGAGGAGTTGGCTCGCCTGCTGCAGTTCACCACCGGCTCCTCTCAGCTTCCCCCAGGGGGATTCAACACTTTATGTCCCTCATTCCAGATCATAGCCGCCCCCACACACAGCACCCTGCCCACTGCACACACGTGGTGAGTAGGAGAACACACACAGTTATACTTAAACTAACAATGCTCTTCTTGTATTGTATGCCTCATCTTTTGTCAGTTTATACCCTTAGTTAAAACTGAAATAACTTAAATTAATTTAGCAGACCTTCATGATTAAAGCAGGATGGATCAGTCTGTTTTTTGTTGACCATTGCACAACCTCCTTGCTTTCTAGTCTCACGCAGGTTGAAGACTTTATTGTCTTTTTTAGGATTTCAGTGATAGTCTTTTGTCATAATCGCTTTAGTTTTGGTTTTTCTCCAGCTTGAGAACATGACTCTGTATTTCACTCCCTCTAATCCCATCATGTCTAATCTATGGCTGACAAATAGAAACATAAAAGAAACAACAAAATGTTACATTTGTATTACAAGCAAAGCTTTGCAGAATTCCCACATTTAGCTGAGCTCTGTATTTATTTATAATCGTCACATTTTAGTGTGCATGAATCCTTCCCCTTGGTGTGTGTAGTTTTTGTTAATTGTGTGTATTTCAGATTTACTGCTGGCTGTAAAGCAAATTGCCCCTCAGGGATAATACATTTTACCCTGACCTTGCATGAAAACACTCACACAGTCACTTAAAGTGCTAAACATCAGGATGTTCACATTGTCGTTGTGAACAACATTAGGCTTACAGCATCCTTGTAGTGCTCCAAAGAGCTGCCAGCATGCCTGTGAACTCTTCTTCTCTTGTTGAAAAAGGCTAAACAAAAAAAAAAAGATGTAAAATGTTTAGGCTTTGTGGTTTTAAAAAGCATTCTTCAAAACTCTGTGATTTGTATGTCTTAAAATATTTTTTTTATTGGTGGATGAGTACAGATGAGCTGCTCTTGCAGTAATTACTGCAGCAGGATGGTATTCTTGTGAGTTTTTTCACAATAAAATATTTTTGTTTGCATTATGTCGATGACAAAACATGTCGCTGAACACAAAGGTGTAGCAGATATATTTGTGCACAGCAGTAGTACTTGGGCTACAATCGTATCTTGACATTATTTATGTTATTTCCTTTCTGTTGATCACATGTTGCATTATATAATAAATGAACTTTTATAAATCGGTGTGTAATCCTCTACTCTCTTCTGACTAGTTTTAACCAGCTGTGCCTCCCGACCTACGACTCCTACGAGGAGCTGCACAAGATGTTGAAGCTGGCCATCAGTGAGGGCAGTGAGGGCTTCGGCATGCTCTGACTCTCACACCACCGGGACTCTGGTTCCACTAGTACAAGAGGAGACTTGCTCGAGAGGACAGGCTCCCTGCATTTGACCGTATTTATCAGTATGCTTCTTGGCAGACTCACCCAGAGTGACTCTCTCCAAGTACTCCTCAGGATTGAGAGGACATTACAGGGAAGGCGGTGCTGCACCTGGAACTCAAACGTATGAACTTTAGTGCTACTGTATGTACATAATATATCTCTTAATATATCTCTTTTGTATAAAGGAAAACACAAACTACTGAAAAGGGGGATGTTTGAGCTAGTTTTATTTCTTATTGCTAAAGTTAGCTTAGTTTTATATGTTTGGAAGAGGTTAAAGCAAAGGCCTCATTATTACTGTATAACTGCTTCTATTGCATTTTGCAAACTGCGGAACACTTAAGTGCGACAGCAGCCTACACGTAATGTGAGGGACGCCTGCAAGTACAGCACTGGCCTTAAACGATCAGGGACTGATGTGTGTGTATGTAAATATATATAATATCACTCTTTTATTTCAATACTTGTACAGAGTAGTGTGTATACAGAGGTTTTCATTTTGTTCTTTTGATTTCATGTTTAAGGAGAAGGGATTTCTTTATAATTGCATGTTTTGTTGAAGAGTTAAAATAATTTGAGTTTTTTTTTTTCTCAGTCAGAAATGAAAGGTTTTTAGAAAGAAGCCAACTAATTTCTATTGTTTATGTATGTTTTTTTAAATGATATGGTCCTGAAGAAAATTTTTGTTTAAACATACAGTGGAAAATATTATTATTTTTTTGGTTATGTTTTACAACCTGCCTTATTCATACCCTTTGCCTCTGATTGTATCCAGAGAGGTGTGTAGTTGAGAGAAGCGATAGTTCTATTCTGACATTTCTACAAGTACATTCAGGGCTCACTGTGGATGTGAGTGCTGGTGTGATGTTTGGGAGGACCCGTGTTTATAAAGATTGAGTTATCTATGCTGTTTGTTCCTTTGACATTCACAGCCTTTTATGGGTTTACCTCAGAATCCTATGCCACCTTCACATCCTCAGAAACAAGTGTGGCGTGTGTGGTGAAGTACACATATACTAAAGCATATACAGTTTGTGAATAGATGCCTCCTTCCTGTCCTGACTATACAACTTTTAGCCATATGACACACCCTCAGTGAACTCTAAACATCATCCACATGGAGATTATGCCCTGTTTGTCAGTCTATGTTATTGTAAACATATTTATCTTTAATGCTGTTTATGAGTTGTTTTCTCTCATTCCTCTGTTCAAAATTGTGTAGCAGTTTCCTTTGCCGTTTCATTGTTTACATGTTCATTAGCTGTTCTTGTAAGTGTGTGTGCTGCCAGTCAGCGTCTCTGTAGAGCATATAGACAAATTCATGTTTAGACTGAAACAAAAAGGAAACATTGATTGATGACTTTCTGAATATAATTTGAATAGGTTCCCTTTAAGAGCACTCTGGATGCAGGTTAGGATCCTTTTTATATTATTGTTGACAGTTGAAACAGTTGGACAGTTTGACTGGGCCACCAAGAGATTGAACTGCATTGTGTGAAACAGCAAAGATTTCAGACTTTTGACTGTACTGCAGGTTTGTATTAACACACGGTTCACTAGAGCCAATACAGCGCCTGCCTGGGAATTGTCGAGCTTTTGCAGATGCTTTAATTGCAGTGTTCAAACAGTATTAAAGGGTTCATTGATTTGTGTTCGTTTGGGTTGTGCAATGTTGACCTTATGAACTGAGGAGAAAAGTGAACATGTTTCGAGTGCTTATGAAAATGTCACATTGAGGTGGCGTTTTCAGCACCGATACCAATTGCTGATTCCATATTTATTAGAAGAAAAGGCGGTTTAAGCATTACTTGTGTTAGTTGTCCCATTAGATGTAACCATTAGAAATCCAATATGAAGGAAGTATGTCCTGTAGTTTTATGTTCCTGTTCAGTGCTTTGCTTTTTTTTTGCGCAAATGCTCTGTTTTATGTTTGGGTTGTTTCTGGATTAGATGTCCTGATTGAGACTTTTAGCGATGTAGATAATGTGAAATATTTGCCTATGACTTTGAAGCTGAGGTACTTCTTGTTTTTTTCTTTTTTAATGGCGAGCCTCTGCTGATGAATGTTTGAGATTCTCTGCACTGCAGGCCCTTTGTTTATGGGAATAAAAATGATGGACTACATTGTAATCACCTCATCTCATTTTGTTCATTATAGAGCCGTACTATTACCGTTGACTGATTATGATACAGCACCTTACTATAAAATCTGTACTTGGTGAAGGCACTTAATGCTAAGCGTTTCAGTCAGTCAATCAGTTGTGTTAAATAGTGCCAAATCACAACAAAACATGTTTTCAACACTTTACATACAGAATGTCAAAACCTAATATTGTATATATTTACAAACCAAACTTTTATTGACAATGGGAATCAGTAGGGAAGAAAAGCTTCATTTAAACAGGCAGAACCGGAGTCATTGGTTGAAAGCCATGACTCTTAACTGGGAATAGACCAGTGTTTTCTAAATCAGGATCTGTGTTTCCTTGGGATTGGGATCTGGAAATTGCCAAGAGTTCAAGTAAAGGTGTTCTTCACAGTGATATTAGGTTCAGTATGACTTTGACTATGTTGTGTTTTTTTTTTTTCATAATTATTTTTGGGCATTTTCTGCCTTTATTGGAGAGATATAGGACAATGGATAGAGTTGGAAATAAGGGAGAGGGAGAGAGTGGGGAATGACATGCGGTTGGATTCAAACCTGGGCCGCCTGCTTTGCGGATTACAGCATCCATTCATGGGGCGCACACACCAATCTCTGTGCCACCAGCACCCCAACTTTGACTGTTTTCATTTAAAATTAAAATTAAAATCATACCAGTACTGTGTTCTATGGTGAGAGGACCGGGAATAGTTAATAAGAGACATTTTAAAACCAAAGAAGAATCATTGTAGGAGGTCATAATTGATGTGGCATTTGTTGCAATGAAGGACCAAAATAAGAAAAACTACAGACTGCGACACATACATGAATAAGGACACTTATTCTGCATATCGGCTTTGTATAACCCCATAAAGACATCAGCTAAACACTCTACTTCATCAGAGTGCACGTTTTGGACACAAGGGGGCAGAAGCTGAACATGCGACATGAACATAGGATCCCCTCTCCCTCTGTTGACATCTCCTGGGATGGTTTAACAGAAGAGGATGATGAGGAGCTTCCCTGTCTTCGTCTGACCCTCACACTTTCAGCCTTCCACACAGAGCAGGCAAATTCATCTCCCCTCCATCACAGACATTTCTCATTTCCTCTCACATACAATACATACCTCACCAACACAGGAAAATAAACAAGGCTCATTCGAACCTGCTGCTTTCACGTCAGCTGAAGGCGTAACGAAATCAATCTTTTGGGAGCTCTGCTGTGTATGGAATGTGATAATAACGAACTGGAAAACAACGGCTCCCTTTCCTGTCCACATGTGAAGATGGTGGCATAACTGACAGCCCCATCAACACAAGATGTGATGGGAATAACCTCTCTTACATGGCTGAATATTTGCAGCCTTAGTCATACATTGTCTGATCAAGGACTCTACAAGTTAAAAGTCCTTTTTAATTGCTTTCCTTGAAGGCTGTGGACATGCAGGCCCCATGGCCCTCCACGCTACACCCACATGTTCCTGGCGTGTGTCCTCACACTGTGGTCTGAACACTATCAGGAGAAGGCAGAGAGGCATCTTGAAGTACTTGGAGGGAGAAGTCCAGTTATTTGGTCTTGGCATGCACCTGTGGATTTGCATAATGGTCTCTCTCAAATTTCCCCCAGGAATGCTTGCTAAAGAGGGACCACAAATCAGAAAGTCATCCTCTGGCGCTTTCTCAGGCTAATGTACCTCGTCCCTCCCCGGAGAACATGCGGGAGATCACTCAACAACAATACTGTGCATTTTTGTTAATTCATCTAGTGATACTAATTCCTTGGGAGAACACGTTTTGCCGACAAATTTTCCATGTACTCTTCTGTAAACATCTCCAGATCCTGGAGACTTCGACTCGATTTTTAGGGTTCAGGGGTTGCCAAGTTCCAGGGGGAGCCAATTTATGGGTGGTTTTCCTGAAGCAAAGAATTCATATGATCGAAAACGCAGTGCCTCATTTCCCATCTCTGAGTCAGACACCCTGCCTCTGAGGATCAGTCGCTTGCTCTGATCAAAGACAATTGGCCACAGACAGTGATCTACACGGGGAAGACAAAACAGCGTGGCTTGGATATGACTTCTCTTCCTTAGTCCTGCTCAGCTGTTGCATTGTCTGCTTCCCATTCCAACATTCATGTCCTCATTACCTGATTGGATGCCGCTGATAACTGCCAACTGGATTGGCTGCAGGTACTCAAAATCTCTGATTGATCTGGCCGATTTAGAGGCCAATCTCAATCAGGGTTGTTGCAGGGCAGGAGAGCATCTCTCCTGCTGCTGCAGGACTAGATTGAAGTTCTCCACTGGAGGTTAAATCTTCACTGTGAAGTGTCCTGACTTCATATTACCGCAAATATCCCTCAGGCCTGAGCCCAAACACATGCAAACTTCAGGACCTTGTGAGTCAGCACAAAAAGTTTTCCTCCTCAGATCAGAGCACAAAAAAATAGTTTTTTTTAACAATGGCTGACCACAAAAACTACTCGCTTTAGGGAGAGATTTTTTTTTGGTCTACGCTGTGTCTTCTCCAGTTGTCCTATACAGATCTTCAAAGGCTGCTTTTTTGACTGTCGACATTGCAGCTCTGCAGTCAGCGTGCTTGAGGATTATGGGGAAAACGGCTGTGAAAAAAGCACATCATGGTGATGACAATGGTCTGGAGACAGAATGCAGCCAAGGAATGTATGGATGGGACTCTGCGGCTGATTACAGAGATATTTCCCCCCATCTTTTGATATGTCATAGATTCTTTGTATCCCTATCAATCCTCTGTGATTTGAGTACTGAGACCTGACTATCAGCACCAGAGCTAGGACGCTGCAAGTCCACATTACACAGCATACAGTACAAGCCACCACACACAGATGAAAAGGCCTCATTCAAATACAGTCCATCAGAAACAGGGCTGCCAACACATGTTTTATTTTGAAAATGATATATCATACACATCCATGTAAAAAACTAAAGTCCGACTCAAGCAGAAGCTAACAGCTAGCAGCGAGCGGTCATGGAAAACTGCAAGGGTGGAGATTAAGTGTCCCTCTGCTGATGGCTGTCTGTGTTATATATGACACTGGAGTGAAGCTGTTGATTCATGGGGTTAGCTGTCCTGCTGGGATGTGCAGCTGTATTACATTTGGTGTGTCGGCAAACATTTCAGTCCTTATATTTCCTCTGTAAAGAAAGGGCCTCTATGTTTGGTGTCCTAGGGTCAGTCTGACAAACACCCCTGTGCTATATTGTCTATGTTTGTCATCACAGCATATGGGTTACAAAGTGGGATCTGTGGGACAATTTAAAATAGCAAGGCTTAGTTTGTTTTTGGTCTGCTGACACATCTAAACATTGAGACATTTTTGTACAGAAATTAATTTTCTCCAGAGGATGACTCTGATGGTCCCTGACATACCCTGTGGCACAACCAGCAGGTCAGAGTTTTCTCTAAAACTGAGAAATATCTCAATCTATTGGAAGGATTGACAACCCAACATGTACTAACATTCATTGTCCACTGAAGATGACGCTTGTTGAAGGTGCTGTCCTGAATTTTTTGTAGCACCACAGAATGTTTTGTGTGCAAACCAGTGGTTTAGTTGCCTTGAAAGTTGGTACAGAAATTAATATATAATAAAGGATAAATAAAAAAGCCTTCATTTATCCTTTTACTTTAGATCTACTTTTTTAATCATTGGTCAACTTTTAAGTTTGTCCAATTATCCAATTTGCTCGTTTAGTCAGTAAATGACTAAACAAACAGACAAACTTAACGGCATTGCCATCAGACTCAGCTGTACTGTTTTTAGTGCTAATACGCAAATGTTCGCATGCTAACAATGTTAAAAAGATGTTGAACATTTGCACAATATACATAATAAGCGTTACCATGCCACATTGTCCCATGCATACAGTTTCTGAACCATGGAGAAAAGCTGAGCCCTCAGCTACACAATCCTTCAGTGTGATGAAACCATGCATATAGTTCCAGCTTAAGGCCACAAGGTCAGCACCAAAGACACCATCATTAATCAGGATAGAAAAAACAAGCAAGACTTCATGGGATGCATGCCACGCTGGCCTTGTTCTGTGCCAAAGACTGGCTGGTACTGGGAAGTAAATGAGGCTGGCATTGGCCTTCTTTCCTACCACAGTCATGGCAAGCCAGCACAGAGCTCAAGGCCACCGGACTGATCCTGGGCTCTGTCTCCAAGAAAATCCTGCACACCAGTGTGGTCATACTTATCAATAAATCCACATGAACAGAGCCAGGATGCAGTGTTCGTGGCAACAGCTGGCCTTTTATATATAAACTTGTTTGTGCCCACATCAGTCAACATTTTGGATAATGTTTCTTAAGACCGTGTAAGTTGTGCAAATGCATCATGCACCTTATCTTTTTCTTTTATTTATGTTGGGTTTTGGGCAGATCTGTAATCTGGATCATGCATCTGCATTGTATGTTGTTTTGGTTTTCATTGGTATGTGTGTATGTGTTTATATATGGATTTCCTTTTTACATTTTTTTTTTTTTAAGATTTATTTTTGGGGTTTTTGTGCATTTAATGGAGAGATAGGACAGTGGATAGAGTTGGAAATCAGGGAGAATGACACGTGGGAAAGAAGCCACAGGCTGGAATCGAACCCGGGCCACCCGCCTGGAAGACGACAACCTCCAATAAATGTGGTGTGCGCACCAACCACTGCGCCACCAGCGCCCCCATTTTAATTTTTTGATGCAACTGTGGAGGCAGCTGAATGTGTGCAGCATCTGAGTCCAAAACATGTTTCCCAAGGAGTTATAAATCTATCATATCTCACTGGGTCGGGTCGCGTCGTATTAAATCGTGTCATATCCTGTTGCCTCATATCATATAGTTTGGTGTTGTTTCGTATCGTGTCATATCGAGACTCTTTCCAAACAAGCCCTTTTGTTTTTAACTTACCCTCCTGTTTTGCACGAACCTAATAAATAGCTGGATCTTTAAGTAT